AGTTCAAATATGTGACTCATTAAAACATCTGGATAGAAAACATCTCAACTTGGACACGAGGGGGGCTTAATTGATCTGTATGTGTAGTGTTTATATTAAGTTTCTTTCAAAGTGGCTAAAACACAACATGCTTAAAACTGGAGGGGGAAAGCTGGACCTTCATCCAAGGACTAATTGATGATAGATAAACATCTTTGCTGGAATGACATCAAGACTGCAGGCATGCAACTCAATGAGTATCTCTAACAAAAGTCACACAAATGGCTTGAAAACGTATGCATATCCTCTAAAAATGCTCAGTTGTAAAATGCATTCTACTCCCAGTTGTGGAGGATCAAGTCATCAATAGTAAAATATATATATATATATATATATATATATATATATATATATATATATATATATGATTGCATCACTGCTGTGCCTCGGCACTGTCTCACGGGGGCGCTCGCAGTGTAGCTGCTTTACTTGTCACACAAAGAAGTCAGGTGTTTGGACCGCAGCAAGATGGCGGGGTCCAAGGTGAAGCAGGACATGCCTCCATCGGGAGGCTATGCTGCCATCGACTACAAGAGAAATTTGCCCAAACGCGGACTTTCAGGTACATACATTGTAAACTAGGAATACTGTCGGTTTAGACCAAAAACAACAACACGGCTGCCCCCTGCTCAGGAGCAGAGCAGCAATGCTAGTGTTAGCATAGCACCGCTTACTAACTAATCATAAGAGAATTAACCACTTAATATAAAATAACTTGTTTCTAGTAACACGTTCGTTTTTGCAGGTTATAGCATGTTTGGTATTGGAATTGGCATTATGATGTTTGGATACTGGAGGCTGTTTAAATGGAACAGAGAAAGACGGTTAGCCTATTCAATAATCTACTCATTATATTAGAAACCCATTTGACCGTGTTAAAGTTGTTTTATTTCTTTATTTACTACAGGCGTTTGCAGATAGAGGAGTTAGAGGCACGAATCGCCATGATGCCTTTACTACAAGCTGAACATGATCGAAGGTAATGTCACATTATTCATATTTCCCCTCAACATGGCAATCCTTGATTTTTATTTTTTATGTTTGAGCAGGACTTTACAAAAACTACGAGAAAACCTTGAAGAAGAAGCTATTGTCATGAAGGATGTTCCAAATTGGAAGGTATTGCAAAGATCATTTTTTTTAACTCTAGGTTGACATACAACACTCAATAATAGGTCTGTAACCAAAGAATGTTGGTAACAACTTATTACTCATTACAAATCCAGTTCATTCTACAGTAATGGACACCAATTACCCTAATCTAACAAATCCAGGGTTATGCTGTGAGATGTAATTTTAAGACTTCAACAAATACAATCAAGTCCCAAATATTACTAAACACATTGTCATTTAATGTTTTTTGCTAGGTTGGTGAAAGCATGTTCCACACAGAGCGCTGGGTCACCCCTCTGCCAGAGGAACTATTCAACCTACGACCAAGAGAAGAACTCTTGCACAAACGTTTTGGCTTCTTGTGGTATGTTTAATACCTCGAAGGCTCTTTCCATTCTCTGGAACATATTGTAAATGTCAATTAATAAAGTGGACTTTCTGTACCAAAATGTATATTTTCTTTGAGCACTGGGTGTTTAGAGCAGTGTCTCCCAAAGTGGGGTCCGCGGCCCCCTGGTGGGCCGCGAGGGTACTGCAGGGGGGCCGCGGGAGGTCATAAAAAAAATATATATATATAATTATTTAATGTTAAATTTATAATGTTTTGTTTGTAATATTAAAATATTTGTTCATTATTTGACTTGAATAAGCCACTGTAATCATTTTTGTATTACAATGTTTGTAGCAGAGGCTATTTCCCCAAAATAACAAGAGCCTATTCTTAATGTTGTCTTCTTGGTTATTATTATGGGGGGCCACGCAGACCCGTCAGATTTTTAAGGGGGCCTCGGTGTTACTGAGTTTGGGAATGGCTGGTTTAGAGGTATCAAGTAGCCTCTTATGTGAAATTGATTTATGGCATCAAGTCTATAAATCTGGGTTTTTTTTTTAAACAAGGTCAGTTAATACTAGCATGTTTCGTACCAACTGCCAATCACTCCATACCAATTCATGCTAGTAATTGCCTTTCAGACCAGTTAAGCGCTATAATTTCACAATGCAAGTGCAAACATCCAAGTACCATTTGCCTGTAATTAAAGTTCAGGGCTCATTACATTTGGTTTCAGCAATGACATGCGCTCATCCGCTAAAGATTGAAAGTGACCTACATTGAAATTATGCACTTCAAGGGCTACCATGACAATGCTCACATTAGGCAAACTGCTAGGCTACTTTGACCAGACCTTTGAACAGAAGCTACCAGACGAAGTGAGACTTAGCCCACGCACTACACTAGTCAAGGATGTAGATAGCTCTAAAATGCCCAAAGTTGAGCCCTCACATGGATTAAACCTATTTGCCAACAATGAGGTGAATTGGTGGCAAAAAATTCCATGCCCACTGAGAACCACTGACAATTGAATTGATTATGAAAATATTTATTTTAATAAAAAATGCTCTTCCATGGCTTTTCCAGACTTCCTTGTGAAGTGAATCATAGCCCCTGATTCATGTCCAACACAACCCTGAAAAGGAGGAAAAAGAGGTTAGAAAAGCCCAATTTGAAGGAATGTAGTGAACATTACCTGTCATTGAAACTTGAACATGCCAACAGACTGAGCAAACTTGCCAAGTTTGGAAATCCATTCAAGCAAAGTTCAACAGCTCATCCTTTGGGGACAAAAGAGTGCATGGTCATTACACAAGACAGACAAAAAAAAAAACAGTCCCAATCATAACACCCTAATGAGATTATAAATGGTCAAGAAACTTCAGTGCGCCTGAGGAAACTAATTCAGTGACGGGACTACCCATGATTGAGAAGGCAATGCTTTGGTGAGCTATTATGAAAAACCCAGAACGCTCCTTAGGACAAGTCTGAGGCCATGGCATTTCTCAGTAAAGTGGTGACAACAGCAAATCATTTCATGGAAAAATGGGCAGTTCAAAGGATGTGAGCATAGCAAAAGTTGAATTACCTCACAAGTATTGGCCTACTCTCCACTTTTGATATAGGCAATGCAGCTTTCATCTCTGAGCAGCACTGAGGTGGAAGGCGCAACAGTTCACTCCAAGGACTTGTAGAATTTTGACGTTGAATTCTTGGATGTAATGAAGCATTAACAGGACTATACAGTATGGCATTGATCAAAAATAGTTACTATTTGGTTTTAGAAAGTTAGTTTCAAAATCTATTTTAACCCATTCCAATTTTAAATATAACATACCCCACAGAGGCAGAGCAATAAGCCCATGGTAGTACGGACAGCCAGAGAATAGAGGTCATTTTCCAAGGTCTGTTTAATAGGCTCCATGAAGCCAAACTGACAAAATAGATAATACAAAGAACATAAAGTACAAAACTGTTCCCAATTTAGACTACCTTGAGGAAACGAAGTTACATATTTCGAGCACTTTTTAAACAAGAGTCATCCATTAACAGCACATTAAAAGTTCAAATGTTGAGCATAGCACATGAGATACCTGGGGCAAACTGTGGCATGGTGCAATTTGCAACTTCATGACAGCCGGCCAGTTCGGATGAGTAGTTCACCAGTCTGAAAGGAATTAACTTTTTGGGAAAATTGAACATGGGAGCCTCAACTGCCTAGTAGTTTTTCAATGTCATAATAACCATAAGTCCCATCTTAGGCTCTTTCCTTGAATAGTTAAAAAGCAGGACGGACAGATTAGATTTCCCTCAAAAATAAAAAAGTTAACCTGCTGGACACTAGTCAACAGCAACAAAATTGGGCATTTAATTGAATGAGTCCGAGGAACATGAGTGAGTGAGCCAGACGCGTGTTGTCTGGGGGAATGGTGCCCAATCCAACAAAACACTTGCAAATTGCCATGTATTTGGTCATTAAAACATAGTTCTGGAATGACCGGTTTATGGCTTCAGTGTTTAGATTTAACAACAGAACTACAAACTAAGGTCAGCAATAACATGTAGACATTTTTTCTTGAGGAGCGCATCTTTGCAATACAGCCAGCCAAGTGATGATCTTGAATCAGGGAGATGTTTACTCGTGTGAAGCTGAGGATAAGAAGTGGGCACAAGTAAAGACACTGAATTTCCATACGAGTTTCCCAACAATCCAACGTAACCAAAGCCAAAAACCCTCCCCCACTCACATTTCGAAGTGAGCATTATCAAGGAAAAATAAGGAATCTCAGCTTCCAGGAGTTTGGGCGTTTAATCCATCAGGGTCAAGGGTGAGAAATCGGCATTTTGACTGAACGTTTGTAAGGCCCTATGATTATCCACACATGTTGAGGCAGAAGTTTGAGCTGCTAGGCATTATACCCTCTAAAAATGGCCATCATTCAAATCAGAGATAAAATGTGAATGCATATAATGTTTAATCTTTAGTCCCAACATTAAACCTTTTGGTAGTTTGCAGTAATACTCACCATAACTGTCGTATCCATCCCGGTATGATCCAGAGCGGTCGCCATAACCTCCCTGCCCCCTAACCATTGTGTAAAAGGAAAACAGGGGATAAGTATTCCAGTGTAACACATGAAATAGTCAATGATAAAAATATTCATACCTATTGTCCCTGTAGCCTCCGCTGGAGGAGTATCCTCCACCACCGCCGCCGCTCCTGTAGCCACCACTTCCGCCAAAGCTTCTTTCACCACCAAAGCTACGGTCACCGTAACTCCGGTCACCGTAGCTTCGGTCATTATATCCACCACCTGCAACGTATTGGAAGTGCATAAGCCAAGTGAACAAAAAACACCACGTTACATGCAGTTCAACTGCTATCTCTCGAGAAACCACGACCTCTTCCACGTGATCCTCCGCTGAAGCGTCCTCCTCCGCGCGGTCCAGAGCTGTATCCTCCACCGCCGCCTCCCCGGGATCGTCCGCCTCCCTTGCCAGCTTCATCTACGCGTATCGCACGGCCATCCAGAGTCTACGAAAACATTAACGAGTTTACACCGAGTATAGTACTATAGTACTATCACGTGAAGGCCGCCTAATTACCTTCCCGTTCATAGCGTCCAGCGCATCTTTGGCGTCTTCAGCATTGTCGTATTTCACAAAGCCGAAACCACGGGATCGCCCAGTTTCTCTGTCTCTGATAACGTCAACTGGAGAAGAGTAGAATATTAGTTCGCAAATCCAAGAAAAAAATAAAGCATCGGGCCATGGAAGCGCAAACTAAAATGGTGGCTGTACCCTTCTCAATGCTGCCGTATTTCCCGAAGGCCGCAGCCAGTGTGTCCTCGTTAGTATCGAAACTCAGGCCTCCGATGAAAAGCTTTCCTTCGTCAGACATCTTTACACTTTAAAAAACAAGCAAATAGTCAACATTTCCGCTCAATAGTGAACGTAGCGGAGCGGCCTAAAAGAGGTGCGCCATAGAAAGTAGGTCAGTAGGTCTATGGAGCAGGGGCGCACAAACGCAAACTGTCTTAAGTTCAGAATAAAATTGCGTGTTCACAACGTCCATTTCGTCAAAATTAAATAATGAAGACAAAAGCTGCAACAAAAGGCATTGGATTTCGGTCGAGGCCTTGGGCCTCCACGCGTTGTAGCATAGGGCTAATAGGTTAGCTTTTTATCTTCAGCGCCATTTTGCTTGAAGCATCCCTTTGTAGGAGCGTACGTTCAAGATACGCGCTTGACAAAACATTTTAAATAAACCTCGTTAAAATGAACTAAACGCACCATGTGGATTATACCTTAATTGATACTCTATACATGTAATAGTATATTGTATAATTTGGGGGGGGAAAGCATGAAAATTAAGTTAGGCGCAGATTATCGTACATAATAAAAGCCACTGTATCAGGGCGAAATACATGCATCAAAAACAAAGAGGAGACACAAAGATCATAAATGAGCTTACCTTAGAGTGGCAGGAGCTGAGGGGCTGTGCAAGCGTAGTGGAAGAGAGCTGCGCGGGACTGGGACGAGCAGACGAGCTCCGGCGCTTTTAAACACTGACTCTTCTTTGTCTCTACACACGTACCCCACAGCGCCCTCGCATATCACGAACGGTATTGCAATACGCACATTATAGGGTTATCAAACGCAGAAGCACGCTTTTACTAAGATTTGGGCATATAGTATTATATTATATTGTATTGTATATTGTAGTTATAATGTTGTCCAACTGCCACCTTTTCAGACAGCAGATATACAGCATCATGTTTATCGAATGGCTGGATGTCTTCTTAGCATTGTGCAATTGTGTAGTTTTGAGCGGTCTTTGCACCGCCTGTATACAAGTCTAAAAAAAATAAGCTACTGTTATGTTTATTAAATTCTGACGGAAAAAAACGAAAGTATCTTTTTTTCTATCGGCGCCAAACAATGGTATCCCTGTGGGGGAGGGTCAGCTGCTGCTATGAAGTCTTCAGACTCCATCTGCTCTTGCTAGCAGCCTTAACACAATCTCACAATGTCAATGATTATTATGGCACACGCGATACATAGCATTTATTCCTGTGAAGCTTTAGCGATAAAGGATTTTGAACCGACCAAAGAGAACCTAGGTTCTGCTCATTGCTTTGTGGTTACAGTATATGGTCTGATCTGTCCATTTTGGTGGCCATGTTGCGGTCAGCTTAAAAAACTGAATTGTCTAGGAAATATAGTGTGAAAAAAAGAAATGCCACTCTATTGGTCTCTGTCGTTCGTTGTTATACTTCGTTTCTATCTCAATTGTGAATGTGAATGTTATGGTTTGGTCTCAGCTATACTATTAGAATCAACTTTAACTGGTACTACAGGCATATTTAGTTTGGTAGGATGAGTGTGATGCTTAACACGTTTCTGCCTCGTAATATATAGCAATGGAACAGTGAATAACATACAATAAAACTCTCCACCATCACCCGCCTCGTGCATGGACCTATGCTGCAAGTAACCACAAGGCGGCGGAAGTTTGTCCTCATTCTCCTTCTCATTGTAGTATTAAAATAAATATCCTCTAAATATGACAATTATGCAATCATTTTCCTTCATATAATTCTAATAGGTTAAATTTAACTTGGCCTATTCTTTGAAATTAATTCAATTTCTCAATGGAACAGCAGCTTTTCTTGGTCTAACTACACCCTTGTTCTTATTCTAACTGATAAATTGCATTTTAGTCTCAAATAAATCATTTGAAGACATTTCATATACCAGAAAATAGCCATGGCTTCCATCTGACCCTGGAATGTTGGTACAATAGTTAACAATGACACAGACACAACTTTACAACCAGATGAACGAGGAGTCAAGGACAAAAGGTACTTTTTCGAGGCCCATAGGTGCGAATACCAATGCATAATGAGCTGCAATTTTGTTTTGCATAAAGAAAAAGGGGTTGATGTGATGACCAACATTAAAATCCACACACTACACAGAAAAGAGAGAGACTGGACGCTATGGGTTTGTGTGTGTTTCATCAATTCCTGCAAGACATCTGTTTGTAGATCTAAACAGGCCGAGAATTCACACTTCGGGTTTAAATACATTGATAAAATAAGATTAAGAGATCCTTTATTTGTCCCACAGTGGAGAAATTTCAGTGTTGCATCACAAGTTACAGAACAGTAGGAAAGAGGAGCACACGGCACAGTGACCAATAGCTATACTAATAAAAAATAAAACAAAATCTCTAACTCTAGCATCAATAAAAATACAACATCTCTATCTTGAAAAGGATAGTATAAGAAGTGTAAAAGTTTTACATAATAAGAGGCAAGTATAAAGTACTGTGTATTCTAGTGCAAGCAAAGTGTAGTTATATGTTAGCATCTGTACATGTTAGCAGCAGTATGTTTACATCTGTACATGTTAGCTACAGTATGTTTACATCTGTACATTAGCAGCAGTATGTTTACATCTGTGCATGTTAGCAGCAGTATGTTTACATCTGTACATGTCAGCAGCAGTATGTTTACATCTGTACATTAGCAGCAGTATGTTTACATCTGTACATGTTAGCAGCAGTATGTTTACATCTGTACATGTTAGCAGCAGTATGTTTACATCTGTACATGTTAGCAGCAGTATGTTTACATCTGTACATTTGCAGCAGTATGTTTACATCTGTACATGTCAGCAGCAGTATGTTTACATCTGTACATTAGCAGCAGTATGTTTACATCTGTACATTAGCAGCAGTATGTTTACATCTGTACATTAGCAGCATGAGGCTCTGAGACACAGGGACTCAGTAAAGTGACAGTGACATGTGGTTATTGCACATTCTGATATGAGTTAAGGATATTGCAACGATGCATGACACGTGGGATCAAGTTGGCAGTGTTCATTAGTCCTTATTGTTTGTTGTACAGTCTGACAGCAGCAGTGAAGAAGATGAGCCAAGTCTGGGATCGTGTCTTAAATTCAGACAGAAGACATGTTTTATTGTCGATGGTAGAGACAGCACGAACAACAGATACAACAGAATGCAAGTGTATTATACAGAGCGGAGGCATGGAGACCTCCAATCAGCAGCTTCCACGGTGTGCTTGTAGCTTGGCCTTCAGATAGACAAAACAAGGGAAAAGTACTGGCTTCTGCACATTGATAGAATGATGAGTTTAACTTTAACAAAAGTTGCTTAAAAGTGTTATGAAATCTCACATTCCCCCCTCTGGTCACACATTCCCGTGTGACCATCAGGATCGATAAACAGCAACATAATATCATAACTCAATACTTCAAAAACTCATAAACTCGGTAAAAACTCAGAAAACTCATAAAACATGTTCAGATCTTTCATAAAACTTGTCAACAATCTTCAGTAAAATACCAAACTTCATCAGTCGATGGTTCCAGATATTGCTTTGAAAACAGTCTCTCCCACTTCTCTGTTTTGGTTTCTTCAGGCTGCATTTGTTGTGTCTTTCAAATCACACGTTTCAACTTTAGTGTCCAGATTCAGCAATTCAATTCAGTCCAAATTATGTCCAAATTCAGAAATCCAATTGTTCCAAATCATGTCCAAATTGTGTAATCCAATTGTTCCAAATTATGTCCAAATTGTGTAATCCAATTTTTCCAAATCATGTCCATGCAAAAGAGGACGCTGGTGTTGTCCATGTCTCAGCAGCTCACAGCCTGACCGGAATCAGGGTCTGTGCAGATTGTCCAAGTGTGCTGGTCCAGATGCATTCTCTTGAGGTTTCTCAGTTTTGGCTTGAAAAAAAAAACACTTTTTGTGTAAAAATAAAAGTCTTCTGTTCCCTAGATGTCACAGACAAGGCCCGCATCCTTCCACCACCTGAAGAAGATGAGCCAAGTCTGGGCTCGCGTCATAAAATCCGACAGAAGACATGTTTTATTGTCAATGGTAGAGACAGCACGAACAACAGATACAACAGAATGCAAGTGTATTATACAGAGCGGAGGCATGGAGACCTCCAATCAGCAGCTTCCACGGTGCCATGTAGCTTGGCCTTCAGATAGACAAAACAAGGGAAAAGTACTGGCTTCTGCACATTGATAGAATGATGAGTTTAACTTTAACAAAAGTTGCTTAAAAGTGTTATGAAATCTCACAGCAGGAAGGAAAGACATGCGGAACCTCTCCATACCCCTAAGACATGGGCCTTATTCATTAATTGTCTAACCCTAAACCTTTTGTCAAGCTTTTGATAAAATATAACCGTCATCATTGACATTACAAACGTCAACATAAAGCTCCCTGCTTATTTCCATTAAATGAAACATTCTGAGAAGTTTTGATTCCAAACGCTCACAAATCTCAAATAATCCAACAACTTGCAAAAATGTATAAATGCATACTATTATTATCATTATTATGGGAATTGCCAAAAAACAAAAGTTGGCAAGTCAGATGTTGCCCCAGGACACAAGATACACTCCTCTACAGACAGACTTCATTGTATCCATTTTCGTAGCAGAGATTGTTACTACTTATAATGAGAGTAAATCATCAGTTTCACATTCACAAAAAGTTTAGCCACTTGTACTGTATATAAGTTTCAGGTTGAATATTTACTCAATTTAGTCTTTGTGATAACAGCATCAAATCATTTATTGTATATATAAATACACATTGTATTTCACCTCTACAGACTCAAACATCTTTGTTAATTAGCGCCATTGCTGTGCTAATTTGGGGTTCGCACATTCCTCGCGGAGTCACACATTTTTGTGAATATAGAGGTGCTTTGAGGACTGATTCAGGAACTGTTTCAGGTGGGTTTTATTAGGCAAATAAGATGGGGGTATTGGCTAATTATAATGCTAACGCTATTCGTCGTTTAAGCCATTTTAGAGGTTTTAACATAATTCCTTGAAGGATGTCAATGGAAAAAAGCTCCTTTTGAAGAAAAGATGGAGAGGAAAAATGATTCCAAGAAATGTAGTATAGTTTTGCGGTTGGGTTTATTGCTTGATAGGTTTCTCTGCTTATAGGGCCCAAAGAAAAATCAATTCTGTTCCTTTTTTCCCTTAGAAAATTACACTTTAAAATGACAATTTTATATCCACATAAAATTTCAGTATTGATTTAGGAAACTAACAATCATCTGGAATTGAAGAACAACTGCAATCTGACTAAGACATGGCCCTTTTTCCAAACAGCTCGAACAAGGACAGCCAAGTGATCAACAGTTACTCTAGATATGCAGCTGATCAATGTTAAGAATGAAGAGACCCTTTATTTGTCCCACAGTGTATGCAAACAAAACATCTTCATGTTGCTGTATGTGTTTGTTACTAGACAAAATACGGTACATGGGGTATGAATAGTTTCTCAATGCACTAAATAGCCTATTCTAGCATCAGTTGCACTCTGTACCAACCGTTCTGGCTTGAGACAGAGAAATGCTGCTATGTGTCTATTCACTCCAGCTATAAATAGAAACACCCACCACAGCTTTAATGGAGCTTGCGTCATTTACTCATACTTCTTTTTGGCCCCCTCACACCATCCTCACCCAATGGTTATCTCATGAACATGCACTGTCCCAACCAAATAAACACTACATGAATACAGTTGCTAAAGGAAAGGAAAGTTTATTTTGTATATATTTGTATATAGTTGTGTGTGTTTTCAGAAACTACATCCCTTCAAACATTGCTGCTTGAAAATTGTTGAACAAAGTGGCAGATGAGCACTATTTTGCTGAGTTACTGATTATACTGTACATTGCTGGAATACACATCGCTGCTGTCTGGTGAAACCTCACAAGATTTCAAGAGAAAAACTAGTCTTCCAAGCTCTATTCATACAGTATATGTGAATGTGTGCTGCTCAGAGGACACTCCCTACAGACTATGGCCAAAACGAGCCAGGCCTGAGTGTTCAGCCTGATGTTGTATGTGACCTTGACAAGTGGTCTCAGTGCTGTGGTGGGGTTTAAAACTGAAATAGAACATGTAAAATGAATTACTGCATTTGGTTACTTCTTGGTAAATAGCAGATTAGAGATGGACCCAAATTTTTTTAAATACAACTGCATCTTTCTTAGGAAAGGCTTGATGACTGGAGTTCTCAGGGCCTTTTGAAATGTCCCATATTGAAATGACATGTTTTAAGACAAACATTTTTAAATTGATGAATACTTTAGGGGCTGGTGCCATGTGAAGTGGGTGGCAGCTCTGATTCAAAGCTATTTTAATGAATGGTGTGTCTGTGTTTCCAAGTGTCTTCAACCACAAGGGTCAAGCTGGTGGTTACAGCAAAACACTAGAAATGGTCAGACAGAGCAATCACACATTTGCAATTGAGTGTGCCCCACTGCCTTCTGTTGGGGGTGGGGGGGCCACTCTCATGCTGAGTCAAAGCAGATGCTTGAACAAAGAACAGAACTGAACTCTTTTACATGTTCTTCCTTCATTCCTCAGGTCATTTGTATCCACTCTGAAAACGATGACAACACTCAGTAATATGGAAGACGGTGCAGCGAAAGTTAAAGGTTAAGAAATTTGTCTGAGAAAAACAATCTCCTTTCAATTTTAATTTGATTGTATCTTATTTGTCCCTCCCCTTTTCACAGTCTATACAGACGCACTTCTGACGTCAGCCTCAGCCCTCCCCAACCTCACCCACCTCACTGCAACCCCTCACGCAGAGGATATCCCCCATTTTTCTTGAACGATATGTTTAATTGTACATATGCACACATAGTTGATATTTGTATTAAATTTTATTGTAGCTTTGATTGCTGCCGCAGGGTAAAATAGCCTTGAGACCACTAATCAGTCTACATTACATGACACGTCATTTAACAGCAAACCATATTCTCTAGTAAAACATGTTTTTGGATTTACTAACATAACTTACAATTCAGGACCAAACATTCTAAAACAAAATTATGTAATTTATTTTCAGCTAACCACTGACACTCTTTGGTAAACTTTGGTATTGCGCAGATCTAACGCACTGCTTTAAGCCCAGCAGTAGCTTCCATGGAAACAAAGATCCCTATAAAAACGAGATCACTGTTGCGTCTGTGACATGTTCCAGTCGACCAATCAGATTAAAGAAAGTTCCATTCATGAAGCTGTGAATGAAACAGGGCTGTCCTCCAGCCTCCACACACCATCATCAGCATCATCATCATCATCGACACGGTCCGTGCGGAGCGAGGCGCGAGGATGTGGGAGTGTCTTACGCGTATGGATTCATTCATAACTCAAGTCTTTACTGGAGCGAAATAAACTAAGCTACATGCCAATGTAGACGTGCACCGACACATGAAGACATAAACACTGATTACGCCATCCACTCTCTCTCTCACATAGTCTATCCAGGTAGGTCCGTCCGTCTTTGTCATTTATTATGTAAGAGAGACTGTGTGAGAAAGCTGACACAGCGACTGTTACATCCACGAAATGGCGTGTCCCGTGCGGGGAAACACTGACTCTTGTCGTCCGCAGGTCGAGGACGGGGCTGGATGTCTCCGGCTCTTTACGGATGAGAGGGAAGAAGCTGCGCGCCATGTGCGCTGATCTGAGCGAACACTGAAACCCGCGCAGACTGTACGTATGAACACATGAACAACATTCAGTCATGTTCCATCAGCGTCTCGCACATCTGGATTACATGGGCCGACCCGATGTCGCACGGCTCACTCACGCGATTCATTCCAGAAGCCGAGTGCTTATACCCTATTGTGTATATGTATAAGTTATTCTGTATCCTGTTTGTTTCATCTTCATGACCAATGCACGTCAGGGTGCATAATAACTCGGATAACTGTTATGTAACAACATTCTTAAATATTGGTTTATAAGCTTTTTGTTTTCTAAACATATGGGTTTGGATGGGGCCTATGGGTTATAGTGAAGTCTGTGCAGCCCAGTCACGTCATGTGCTACAAACGCCTCAATCCCAATGTTCCTGTTCTCTTCTTTTATAGGGCTCGCTCATATTGACTTGGACCATGAGCAATGATTCACCTGTTCTGACAAGTCTGACTGAGAACTCCACTGTGAGTACAACGTACCCAGACACTGTCACCGTCATGCTCAAGTGCAAAATATACATGATCATGGACTGTTATGATTATGGTGATCATTATTATTATAGTATCAAAATTATTCTTATTAATGATTACTGCAACATAATTCTGAAACAAACTCCAATATAATCCTCTGAACTTTGTCCACCTCTGAACCTTTTTTTCCTATTGTGATAAAGATGATCTTACTAAATTAAGTTGATCAGTATTAACCCTACAATACGATAGTGTTCTTCTGCCAGATATACGTTTAGTATTGTGGCAGGCAAAAGTATATCTCAACAAGTCAAAAGTGTAAAATACCACCACAATATAACCCAGGTTATTTAAACATCTACTGTATACTTCTATTTTAATCCCCTTTATTCCCTGCTGCTTCTTCCTAAACATTTGAGTTAGACATTAAATGGTGCTCATGCTACATAATAAATTCAAACTTTAAATTGGGAACATTGTCTGTGCAAACCGCACCTTCTCCATTGTAGAGGGGTGGATTAAGGAGAGTTGTACATCTGAATCACTCTCTCTTTTTAACTTGCAGAGGCCCCATTTTCAATCAAAGGAGTTGGGAAATTGAATTGAGGATCTTTCTGACATTGATAAGCATCCTCACCCAGTGAAGACCAATCAAATTAATCAGACTGAATATGTGAATCAGGGAATTAAGTGATTTGGCTCTATATATGTAAACCACAAACCAGTGTATTGCTGTTGTCAGGATGGGCCAGTGTCAGCCGGCCAAGCAGACAGCTATGTGTTGCTGCTGGTAGTGCTGAGTGTGTTTGCGGGGGGGACCTTGGTGCTGCTGTCCCTGCTGTTGCTCTTTTGTCACCGCTGCTGCATGGGAGGCAGGCGCTATTCCCGGTGGGTAAACCTCAGGCTCAAGAACATCATGTCAGCAGATCTGCACATGTGTGATGTTGCAGTAAGTGTACATGAATCTTGTTTCTCTTTAATAGAGCAAGTGATGACCCTGAAAAGACTAACACCACATATGCAGAGGATTCTCAGCCAACCCAAGGTGAGGGCTGCATGCATATCCCATTTACTTTCAATTGTATGACTTTGGCTTGATTGTTATTTCTTTGGTCAAAAAAGAAATTACCATTCGTTTGGATGAATCAGACGCTCTTTCAGCTTCAAGCTGTCAAGATGGAGACTCTGAGCAATTTGTGTCCGCAGGGATTATTGGTCGTAGAGTCTCCTTCAATGAATCTGCACTTTATGAACAGGAAAAGACTGCTCAGGACAGAGTACGAAGGTGAAATTACAACAATAACAATGACTTTGAAGTATCACAAATTCAACCTTCACTGTGTTGCTCCACAGATATACTTTAACAGAAGGAGACTTCCATCACTTGAAAAAAGCCCGTCTAACTCATTTGCACTTGCCTCCAGCCCATTGTGATCTCAAGATACTCACCATTATGGAGTGTGACTCAACTGAAAGCAGCACTGTGAACATTAATGAAAACCCAGTTTCAAAAGTGCCTCTCAGCATCTATCAGGTCGACACTTTTCTGAGAAATGAATCATTCACCTAAAGGATTTATCTAAAGTACTTGATTTATCTCTTCAGTTAAATGAGAGGAGAGTCTTTGGAGATCCTCAGGGCTGGGTTGGGGGTCTGCCAGGCGACCCTCACCACTCCGTTATAATGGAACAGAGTAGACAGTCTTCCTTACTCAAGAGACCAGCCCACACACGTTCACAGACCGTAAGTAAAGTGCATAACTTCAGACTGCTTATTACTTAAAACCATAATAGATACACACAAGGATTCCATGTGTATTATATACAGTTGAACACTTCTAAAACCCCTTAGATATACAATAAATAGGGACTAGGATTTGGATATATATACGATGACATTGTTATTGAATCAATGTCCAAATAATATTATGGTTTTGTTTTTATTATTCTCACAGATGGAAACATATGGAAACAAGGCAAATGCAGAATCAGAAATGAGCCTGGAAAGTGACTCAAGTCAAGCCACAGGGCAGAAATCAGTTCTGAAGTTTTTCTCCAAATTGCGCCGTCATGCCAGTCTGGACGGTGTGGGGCCATACTTTAGGAGGTGGAAAGTTGATTCAAGCCATCGAGCAGCAAGCTTGGATGATAAAGGTGTGTCAAACTATTTCCCATAAAAGCACTGTGCATGAATGAGATTAGATATTAAATGTGTATATGTTATGAAAAAGTTTCTCCCAGAAGGCGTCCTTTCCAGCGACAAAGAGCTGCAAGTGAAACCACAGATCACACAGAGGAGGACTCTTCTCTCAGAGATGAAACAAATGAATCCACTCCACAGTCTCCCATTGTCAGCAGTGAACTCCAGTCTCTGTCTGCCGAGTGCCTGTCCCATCCAGCCACAGCTCCTGGACCGCCAGGCTACTTCAGGTATGTTGCTGATTTGTCTTTGATTGACTTTTTTTATCCATCCAAAATCACAACAATCACATCTTGAGGAGCGTCGCAGAATTCTCAATTTGTCAACAGATTAGAAACTCATTGAACTAGAATCAAACAGATTCTACAATAAAACAAAATACAACATTCATTGTTCAATCTAAAGACAATCAACATGATAATCAAACTGATGTTCTCTTCATGTGCAGGCTAAAGTTGGAGGCCATGATGGAGGTCGATTACAACCCTATAAGTGAAAGACCCACTTTGCTGACCCATGATTTTCCAGAACAGGAAATACTCACAGCAAAAGAAGAAACCAAACTGCAAAATGCAATAAGCACAAAACCTGCTGGTAACGGGCAAGAACTTCCTGAGGAGAATGAGTTGTTTGTCCATGAAAATCCACCAACAAAGACTCTTCCACAAGACGCACAAAACCATTTGGTAACAGAGATGGCGGGTGGAGAGGACATGTTAGGAGTTGTGGCAAATCAGCAGGCAGACTCTAGTTCATCATTCACTCGACAGGAGAGCGCAGACGTTCCTCCATCTCTCTACAGAGACATCTGGAGCCTCCGAGCCTCTTTGGAGCAGTATGCCTCTTCAGACCAGAGCAGCACCGACCGGGAGTCTATCCGTAGTGATGCGGACAGCGTATCATCTTATGGAGGGACAGGAGCTCGCTCTGGTCTGAACATTTGCTTGTCCCAGGACTTGGATGATGAACCAGATGGTGAAAGCGAGGGTGAAGTGGGGGGTCGAGGTCCGACGGGAAATGACGATGCTGCCAGTGGTCTTGTGGGAGATGGAGAGTCAGGAAACAGAAAGCTGTTACAGATGGACAGTGGATATACCTCCATTGAAGCGCCCCTGAGGGCTTCTGAGGACATGCGGCTTTTTGGGACAAGTGGAGCGCCGCGCGGGAAGACCGCATCAGAGAGGAGATTGTTCTTTACAAACTCTGGACGTAGGGGATCAGTGTGTGAGAGCGTAGAGGCCAGGCTGCTTCAGGAAGAGTTAGAAGATGGTCTCATGGAGAGCCATGGTGATCTTCATAACAGTCATTTGGTCACTCAACAAGAGCCATGCGTAAAATCTATTCATTGTCAGCCGCACGAGTCTTCATCGCAGCTAAAGTCTACAGTGATGAAAACTCAGAGTCCTAGTCCACATAAGCCTCGCCTCCGTCGACGTGACTACAGTATCGATGAGAAGACAGACGCTCTTTTCACCGAGTTCCTCCGCCATGACCCCCTGTTTGACCAACCGGACTCCCCACTTCGCACCAGGCGGCGCTCACGGGTTCATCTGAGAAAACAGTGGCAGAGACACAAACAGTACAGTGATCCAGGCTCGAGTGCTGGGGGACGCTACTCTCCATCTTTGGAGAGACAGAGGTTCACTCCACTCAGACGAGGCGACAGTGCAGGATACCTGCATGACACTAGATATCACAGCACACTTTCACGAATAGCAAGTGCTGCAGATGAAGAAGCCAGCGAGATTGCAGCTAATGAAGAGGAAGCCAAACAGAAAAAAGAAAAAGAGACAGTTTTAGCAGGAACTACAAAGGACGCTGAAACATCTGTGGAAGATGAAAGGAGTTGTGAGGGAAATGCTGCTTGCGTTTCTACAAACAAAGTAACTGGAAGCACAATCAACACCAATTTGGCCCCAAAGAAAACAAGCCAAATGGATCCAAGGGTCAATAAAAACAACAATAGCAGTCATGTTGTTCTATCAGAGACCAGCCTGGCCGACAAACTGGTGATGTCTGTCGAGGAAAGACTCTTCTATGGGGTTTTGAGAAGTGGAGAAAGAGGGGACCAGGGAGAAACAAAGGGTACTGTAACAACATCTCAAACAACCTCAGAGTTTAAGTAAATATATATCTCATCATAGAAATGTGTGTTACGTTTACAAAATACCAAAACAATACACTAATTTTAATACTCCTTACGTTCTAAACCTTGTACTGTGACATGTAAAGACCCTTAATGTGAAAATTCAAATTAGTTCTGTTACCCTTTGAATAAAAACACATTTCCTGTGACTTAAAAGCAGAGGAGGGTAAAGCACTTACATTTACTTGAGTAACTTCTTAAAGACATTGTGGTCAATTCTTGTAAATATCTGAGCTCTTGTGAATTACTGAATCTTAAAATTATAATCTGACGTAACATTCTGCCATTCACCATTACTTCAATTATCTCCTCAAATGCTACTTGGTATTTTTGGCTGCTCTACCCACCCCTGCCATTTAGCATGCTACTGTAAGCTATTATATGTAAATATATATTTTGTATCTTTAAAAAGCACTTTGAGGGAAGAAACAAAACAATGTTACTGTTTCACACACCCATCAATTTCGTAAATCATTACAAGTGTCCTTTGATCTAAGGGTAGGCTGTGTTTGGTCCAGGAGTGAATAAATGGATACATACACAATTAGTTCAGTTAGTGGAATTAATTAATTCATTCATTCATATTTTTATACCCATATTTGGTCTATTTTTGTCTTGCATCCTTGTCACTCATCTGCCTGCCATCTGCCAGGACCTATGATGTAATTAAAAATTTAGTATACAAGAGTCATGTTTGTCAATTCATTGTTAAAAGGAAAATGACTGAAACTCAGAAACTCACTCAATCGATAGTTACTGTAGCATATTGTTGAACAATATCACTTCACTTAACATATGTTCTGAGTAAAGTAAATATTTACACTATATTAAACATGTTGCTGGGTTTGGAAATGGAATATGCTAATCACACAACCCCAAATTAAACATGCGAGCAGTCAGACCAGTGACAACTACACACGAAATAGATGTCCAATTCACTCCAAAAGCTTATTCCTGTAAATTGTGGTCCTCAATCTGTAGTCAGGAATAGAGATTATTCAGTAATTACTGGAACACATATATTAGTATAACTTAAAGGACAAAGAGTGTGTTTTTAGAGCCAATCCAGAAGAAATTACAATAACTGAGCTAATATATCAAGATTTAAGTCCTGAGTGTGAAAGCAAAGAAATGTTGGACAGCCTAAAGTGATTATCCTGTAATTATTTTTTCTGTCACAGGTGTGAGCCAAAGAGCAGCTCTCATTCACATTTATTCCCATTACTAATGAACTGAAATGGTTTGATGAAAAACACTTCCTTTTGCACATATTTCTACAAGTGGAGAATGTAAGTGGACTGTGCTGACGCAGGAAGCTGCCCCTCCCTCAGGGTTGTGACTCACCTACTCACTGATCTATTACCAGCAGAGGTTGATGATGGCCCCGGCTGCGTAAGTAGGAGTGTGATGTGATCGGCACATCAAAGAGCCCTCCTTTCAAACTCATATCTATGACTACAGACACACACAGCAGAATGTTGAAGAATGACCAAACAGCATTACATAAACAACTTAAATTGTATTGCATAACAAAAATAGACTCAACTCAAATTATTGGGATCATTCAACACGACCTGTTCAGAACATTCATATAAATAATTAAAAAATATTTCTGAAAACGAAAATACCTAACTGAAAAATAAACATCTCCAATAGCCCAGCAGTGGATTTCAAGGCTTCAGTCTTTCAGCTTGTTTCTTCAGCTCAATACAGCATGCAGGTTTATGTTGGTGGTGTAAGAGCTCCATCATAAAGATTTAATTAATACAGAATATCATAAGTTTTTCTTTAATTCTTACAACATCACAATGCGTTTTAAAACTGTCATTGGGGTTCAGTGAAACAAATGAGGAAAACATATCAAGTGGTTAAAAGTGAACAGAGCAGATGAAGCTTCCGAGTCCAGTAAAACACTGATTTTGAAGAGGTTTGAGGAAATGACTGGATCTGAAGGAGAAAAGGAGCACCGCCGTAACAGCCAGGGGAACACAGATTAAGTTAATTTGGTGTCCCTTCAATACACAAAGACACTAGGTCCATTTTCTAAAAGGCCACCAGTGTCAGCAGATCTCAAAACTTGGTTTGGTGAAAAACCAGAGGACCTGAGAAAAAAAGGCAAACTTTACTCTTTATTACTTTATACAATTTTACCCATGATAAACCTGAGCAAAACACATTAGAACCGACTCAAAACATAGATGTAAAACCCCAGATTCATCCAAATAAAACTCCAGGATCATAGAGAGCAAGTAGAAGTAAATTTCCCAATAAAGCTAACCGGTTAGCATTGTCCATAAAATCAAAGTGAAAGTACCGCAGTGCCTCTTGATGCACAGAGCCTTTGTGTGATTGATTACTGTCCAGTTATTTACATAAATGATGGTACATTTATGTAGTTTCCCATAGATCCCCACAACAAATATGCTCTGTTTAAATATTTAATAATAAAGTAGGAAATATCTGACAAGGCTTGTCCCAATCTAAAAAAAAAACACTTCAATAGAGTTTAAACCCAGTGTTAGAATTAAACACAAACCAATAGATTGGGACGGGTATCATTGTTGTTTGCAGGTGGAGAGCTTGCGAATCTTGCTGGCTGCAGAAACTCCTTTCCGTGAGGGATTAGATGATGAGGATGATCGCCGCTCAGCTTTGGCTTTGTTATTGAGAGAGACCCCTTCCGTTCCATTTGCACACACAGGCTTAGCCATAGCAGGACTGTTGTCTGCGGTCGCATCTTCATCAGACACTTGCCCTAAAGACACAATAGACCAGTTTTATACTTTCCCATCCACACCACATTAAAAGTAGCTAGCAAGACATTAAGAAAATGCTTAATTGCAGTGTACTGTCATGACAATGTAATTCATAGATAGAACATAAATAAATGATTAATAAACTCTAGTCCGCTGGTTCTTAATCTTCTCACTCCAAGAAGCACCTCAGAAACCCTTTTGCCTCCGATCTAAAGCTCCATCTGAATATTTGGACTTCCTTGTCCAACTATATCTACAAAGTTTCTTGGTCTACATAAAGGATAAGCCTAGTTCTTGTATTGTAGCCAAATAGTACCTACATGGTAGGTATACTTGGGCAACAGGCAGAAAACAAGAACCAAACATGAACATTACCATCGTGCATGCATTGTGAATGGCACCTGGTACTGTGAAGTCCTGAGTGTAAATGATCTCATCCTCTGCGTCATAGAGTTCGTCATCCTCTTCCTCTGTGTAGCCGTGCAGATCCTCCAGATACGGCACCACAGTCATGCTGCGCCAGGGGTCCCTGCTCTCAGCATTTGCGGGGATCGGCACCGGGCGTTCAGATGGGGGATGTTTCTTCCGCACCCAGCTAGCTCGCATTTACCAAGGGAAATGTGCATGGTTAATAATATTGCCTCATGAGACTAGACTTGTGATGTAAAAAAGTGAAATCACTCACTTATGTTGTCGAATATTTTGTATAGAAAACCTCTTGGCCGGATCATACTCTAACATTCCTGAAAAAAGGTTGAAATGATCATCAACTCTGTAATGCCACTAATTGAACAAACAAACAACAGAAAGTTTCTGCTAAATCACCATTAGAAAAGTACATTATTTTGCAAAGCATTAACATTTTAATATAAAAGGCCAAAATTGGGATTTGGCCCTTATTCCTCTCCTTCTGGCATATTATACAGAATGTATAATGGTCAATAGCTATCGTCTTTTTGACCAATTCTAAACACGGTACCCTATGCATGACACTATGGCCGCTTAGAGGAGTAATTGTGGCAACAGGCTTATATCACTGCGCTGCCGAACGGAACGTTTTAGGAGTTCCTACTGCTGTCAGATTGTACAACAGACCTGTAGGAGTTAAAAATGTGCATTATTGCTAGGTAGTTCATTATAAATGTACTTATGTGTTTTTATGGATGTCTTTTCTGCTGCTGGACACCTGATTTTCTCCTACAGGGGATCAATAAAGTATCTATCCATCTATTTAAAAACTATAATTATTACATTTATTCTCTGTAGTTCAAAACACAAATGTTTACAAACCTTGCAGTAAGTCTGACAACAGAGACCCACACTCCTCAGGAATAGAGAAATCTCCCTTTCCAATGTTTTCAAATAGCTTATAGATATTGTCCCCCTCGAATGGATAAAGACTTGTTGTAATGTTGTATCTGAGTGAGAAAAAAAAAGTATTTGAAAAAACAAAAATATAGAACTGGATGAATGATGAAACACATTTGTAACATTTCTTTGTTTGAGTTTGATTATTTACAAATGCTGATCCAATAAGGTCTCTGATCCTAATACTCCTATCAATATGACAGTTATTAGTCAAGATACAGTGCACAATACTAACAGTGTTACTCCTGCAGACCAAATGTCCACTTTAAAGCCTGAAAAGGTATCCAGCCCATTAGCAATTTCTGGAGGCTGAAAAGCTGGAGAGCCTTGGCTTGTCCGACACGTGTCGTCCTCAGCAAATGGATGAAGAGCCTACAAACAACAAGAAGAAACAAATGATCAATAAAATCACCTCATGTATGAGATATAGCGCACAATTACCTCTGCTACACCAAGGTCTGAGATCTTTAACGTTCCATCAGTGGTCAGCAGCAGATTCCCCGGCTTAATGTCTTTATGGACTATTCCCTGGCTGTGCAAATATTCAAGGCCATCTATGAGTTGGCAGAAGTACCTGCAAGGAGTTGTAGTTGTAAAATAAAATGTATGGTAAGACAATCAATTGACCATGCGACCCTCCAGTTTTCACACATGCTGTAAACAGTAGAACGCCATGGTTTTGTTAATCTAAATTTGGGCCTGAAGCAGTCACTGCAGAGTGTGTTGAACTAAATATAGCAAAAGGAAAGGGAGAAAGTGCAGGTAGAGTGAGAAAAGAAGACACTTACCCATGAGCTTGAAACACTGGAAACCTTTTCTCAGGGACACTGTCCAGCATTTCCTGCATCCCACAAACGCAGTACTCCATCACCATATACGTACACAAAGTCAAGGGAAATATTTTTATCTTTAAAAAAACACAACTACAAGACAAGCCTACACAAAAACTAAAGGATATATTTTTTGCTTCTCTTCATTATAGAGAACATCTACTAATTGAATCACATTCTTGTGTTGAAGTCTTCTAAGCAGTTGAATTTCTCTGAAAAATCAGAAAACAAAGTAGTTTGTCACATAATTTTCCATAGTGTAAAGTTTAAATTGAATGTTATATGACCCGCACACAAGAACATTGTGAAAAAACAAAATGCGCATGCGTCAGCTGGGCAAGCTCACTTTTTATTTTTCAATTTTTTTAACGAGGGACTTCAACACATTCACAGCAAGTAACCTAGACTGCGAACCAAAAAAATCCACCCCCCTATCAGCAATGACACACATGTGCGCACGGGTTAGGGCAGCGCCAACTTTTGTACCAACTGGTACCTGCCGTGTTAGAGAGGTCGCCAATGCTATAGTTAGCAATGGCTAATTATTTATTCCGGGTATAAACGCTTGATTTAAATTATTAAATTGTTAAAACACAATGTCTGTAATTCTTCAGACGTTTATGCTTCTTTCCAAGTAACAGCAAAACTTATTTACACACATACTGCATATATATTTAAAAATGTATATTTAAATGCATTTTCTCAACGTTTTGGTGTGTACCGCAAAGAATTATGGGCAATATCCTTCACCAGAGTGCGCATAGATGCAGGCTACTGCGAAGTGTGGATCAGGGGCGCAAAGGGGGCGGGGCCAAAGACCTCCCTGGAGAATTGGGACACCCTACGCACTCGCACCCTTTATCAGGAACGCGCAAATGAGGGGCGCGAGGGTGGAAGTGCGAGTATTGGGACGGGGCCACAGACACCTTCAAGGCAACACCCTCACTTGCTCTTAGCACTGCAAGAAAAAATACACAAGCATTTTTACATTACATCTACACATTTGTGAACCTTTCCATTTGGTGAAGTTTTAAGTCGTACTGTGCTGCCATCTGCATTAAACAACGCACAGACGTCATGTCTGCAGTCGTCGAAAAAGTTTCCTTAAAGTGTTACACCCCGGCTCATGGAGGGCAACATAAAGGACAAACAACTAGTAAAACGTAACAGGGTTTATTAACAAAACCAAAAAGGGGTACGAAACAATACAAAACAAAAGGAAGTAAATGTGTGGAGATGAGGGCTGCTGCTGCTGCCAGGCTGAGAGAGAGAGAGGGAGGAGCCAAGGCAGCCATTTTAAGGACTCCAGTGAGTCCAATCAGAGTGGGCTGGAAAACCTGGAACTTGGAGCAGAGTCTTAGTTTCCCATAACACTTCCCCCATAAGCAAGTTGGTGCCAACCAACATGCCATAATGTTGAGCTCACGACCTTGAGAGGGCGTCAGCCAAGACGTTGTCGCGTCCTCTTATGTGTCGGATGTCCAGAGTGAACGCCTGCAGGAACAGGCTCCATCTCATGAGCCTCTGGTTGGTGTTCTTCATGCGACTCAGGGCGACCAAAGGATTGTGATCAGTGTAGACGACAACAGGATGGCTGGAAGAAACATACACTTCAAAATGCTCGAGGGCCAGGATTAACGCTAGAGCCTCCTTTTCTATTGTAGAGTACCGACACTGGTGGACATTAAACTTCCTTGAGAAGTAGCAGACAGGGTGCTCCACCCCTGATCTATCCTGAAGGAGGACAGCGCCGGCCCCAAAATCACTGGCATCCACTGCAACTTTAAAGGGCTGGTCAAAATCAGGAGCTATTAGAACTGGAGCGCTAGCCAGCAGAGCTTTCAACATTTCGAAGGCCATTTGACAGGTTTCCGACCAGGCAAATAGGACCTTGAAGCTGAGCAGGTTTGTTAAAGGAGTAGCAACAATTGCAAAATTCCTGCAAAAACTCCTATAGTACCCTGCCATGCCAAGAAAACGCTTCAGGTCTTTTCTTGAGGTAGGAACAGGATACTGTGTGATTGCCTCAATTTTAGCCCCGACTGGGCACACCATTCCGCATCCCACAATTTTTCCCAAATAAGTCACCGTAGCTTGTCCAAATTCACATTTAGCCAGATTCAATGTTAGATTGGCCGCTACGAGACAGGAAAAAACAGTGTCCAGTTGAGAGATGTGATCCTGCCAAGATGAGCTGTGAAGAACCACATCATCCAAGTAGGCTTCACAGTCCTTAACACCCTTCAGCACCGTGTTAACGAGGCGCTGAAAAGTGGCCGGAGCATTCCGCATTCCAAAAGCCATGGCATTGTACTGACAGAAATCATCAGGAGTGACAAACGCAGAAATCTCACACGCTCTCTGGGTCAAAGGTACTTGCCAATATCCTTTTAAAAGATCCAGCTTTGTCATGAACCTGGCAGATCCCACCCGATCAATACAGTCGTCTAAGCGGGGTAGAGGGAAACAGTCCGGCTTAGTTACTGCATTCACTTTTCTAAAGTCTGTATCCACAAGTAAACATGGGGAACTCCACGAGCTCGAACTGGGCTGAGCTATACCATGCTGCAACATGTACTGTACCTCTTTTTGCATCACCTGCCGTTTCTCAGGGTTCACTCTATAAGGGTGTTGTTTAATAGGAGCAGCGTCTCCTACATCGATGTCATGGTACAACACACTCGTACAGGTGGGTACATCAGAGAATAGCTCAGGGTGCAGGTGGATGACGACCATAATTTCAGCACGCTTGTCTCCATCTAGATATGAAAGATGAGCAGGCAGGTTTGACAAAAGCTCAGAGTTGGGCAACCTTCTCTCTGGAACCGTTTGTACTCTCAGACACGTGTTGTCCTCAGGCTCTGGTACTGGGGCACTCAGCACTGCCACAGGTTTCGGGGTAGAAGCAACCTTGTCTCTGTCAAAATAAGGCTTGAGAAGGTTAATGTGACACATGCGCACTTTCCTCCTCCGGTCGGAAGTTTTGACGAGGTAATTGGTCTCATTTAACCTGCTCTCAACAACAAAGGGCCCACTGTACTGAGCCTGCAAGGTGGAACCAGGGAGAGGCAACAGAACGAGCACTCTGTCCCCAGGCTGGAACGCTCTAGCTTTAGATTTTTTATCAAATCTAAGCTTCATTTTTCCCTGAGCCTCCTCCAAGTTTGCTTGGGCAAGTTCACACGCTCTCTGTAACTTGAACTTGAACAGACTGACAAAGTGGAGGAGATTAGAGGGGCAAGAGGCTCCCTCATCCAGCCATCTCTCCTTTAAAAGCTTGAGTGGTCCACGCACTGTATGGCCAAAAACCAACTCAGCTGGGCTGAATCCGAGTGACTCCTGGGTCACTTCTCTCACTGCGAATAGGAGTAAGGGTACTCCCTCATCCCAGTCCTTCTCAAACTCACGGCAATAGACTCTCAACATGTTCTTTAGAGTTTGGTGAAATCCCTCTAGTGCCCCCTGGGACTCTGGGTGGTAAGCAGATGATGTACACTGTTTGATTGATAACTGCTGAAGCACCTGAGAAAACAGTTTAGACATAAAATTACTCCCTTGGTCACTTTGAACCACTTTTGGCAGACCAAACAAAGTAAAAAACTTGACTAGTGCCTTGGAAACTATGGGAGCAGTTATTCTCCTAAGTGGCACAGCCTCTGGAAACCGGGTTCCGACGCACATCATCGTTAAGAGGTACTCGTTTCCAGATCTGGTCCGAGGGAGTGGACCCACACAATCTATGAGAATGTGCTCAAAAGGTTCCCCAATCACAGGTATGGGATGTAACGGGGCCTTTGGAATAGTTTGGTTCGGTTTGCCAACTATCTGACACGCATGGCATGTTTTACAGTACAGGGTGACATCAGATTTCATATCAGGCCAGTAGAAGTGTCTCCGCACTGTCAAGAGTTTTCTTGATTCCCATATGACCGGCCAGACTGTGGTCATGAGCAAGACTGAGTATATCATTACGATAGACCTCCGGTACCACTATCTGAAAGACACTACTCCAGCTGTCTTCATGGGTCAGCTCAGGAGGAGTCCACTTTCTCATCAAAACATCATGGCTCAGAAAATAAGCACATGAGTAGTTTTTAAGTTCACTTTCTGCCACAGTATTGTCAAACAGGGCAGCTAGGCTAGTATCACTACTCTGTGCCTTTTTAAGCTCATCATGAGATGGAAAATGGGTACCAAAACCAAAAGTGTTACACTTGGCTAGGAAGGTGTCGGACAGATCCACTGTGGAATCTTTAGGTTTAGTTGGAGATTTACTAGCCATCGCTCGAGTAGCAGCACACACAGGAAAGGTATCGGGATAGTGCCGCTCCAGCTCATCTGCATCGGAACGAACAGGGGTAGGAGCAACTACTGGGGCAGCCAATATCCGGTCACCAGCCAAGTCATTGCCTAAAATAAGGGCAACACCATTGATAGGAATACTTGGGCATATCGCTACAGGAAGGTCTCCAGATACTAAAGAGGTCTGTAGGCTAACAGTGTGCAAAGGCAAGGTCAAAATTCCCCCAAAACCTTGTACAAGGGCACTACCCTCCAGCTCAGACTGCTCTGCAAAGGGGAGAACATCCTGCAACATAACAGACTGAAAGGCCCCACTATCCCTCCATATTTTTATTGCGCGTCTATCCGTGGGGTTAGAAGGTAATGACACAAACCCATCCATTAAAAATGAGGAGGAGCAAGCCATTTCATGCTCTCGTTTAGGTTCTACATCTAAGCTTGGAGTTTTTTCAGTACCAAGGAAAGCGACTGGTTTGGGCTTCCTTCTTTTATTCAAAGTAAAGCAATCAGCGATCAAATGGCCAGGCTTTTTACAATAAAAGCAGACCTTTTCATAGGAACTGGCAGACTTTCTAAAGGTCTGATCCTGGTGTAGAAATGGTTGCTTAAAGGATTTAGGTTCCTGAGCTTTGCCTAGACTATGTTTATGAGTCAGCACAAACTCATCAGCAAGAAATGCAGCTTCTGAAAGAGTTGAAACCTTCTGCTCATTGATGTATGTACAAATACCGTCAGGCAGACAGTTTTTGAACTCCTCCAACAGAATTAACTGTTTCAACTCTTCTACAGTCATTGCTTTCTGGGCCAGGCACCAGCGGTCAAATAATGCTTCTTTTTCATTAGCAAATTCCACGTAGGATTTGTCCTCTGGTTTAGTTAAACCACGGAACCGCTGGCGATAAGCTTCAGGGACTAACTCATATGCCTTCAAAATAGCATTTTTCACAATGTCATACTCTCCACTGTCTGCAAGCGATAGAGCAGAGTAGACTACTTGGGCTTTACCGACTAAAACACTTTGTAACAGTAATGACCAACAATGTTTAGGCCATTTAGAGATAGTCGCAACCCTTTCGAAATGTGGGAAATACTTTTCAACATCCTTTTCTACAAAGGGAGGAACTAATCTAATGTTTTTGACAACATCAAAGTCCAATTCAGGCTTTACATTAACTGAAGCTCTTCTGATCTCAAGCTCTTTAAGAAACGCTCATGTTCTAACAACATTTCTTTTTCTCTAAGTGCTAACTCTCGTTCCTTCAGATTTAGCTCTCTTAGTCTCACCTCCATAGTTGGATCTGCATGGACCAGCGCAGACCGAGGGACAGGATTTGCTTCAGGCACGTTGACTGTCACGCTGTCCGGAGCAGGGGAGGCCATCAGGACTGGAGGAAACTGGAACAGGCCCCTCTCAACTAATGTAGCTTTAAGGGCATCTCTCATGTGCTCTTTGAGACGTTTCTGCCAACTTGTAGTGTCTATATCATAGTGTAATGCCAAATTCATCAACTGTTCTTTGATAAACTCCTCCAGTAGCTCAACAGAAGGTCTTTGAATAAACTTGAATAAACGGTATAAGCGGTATGCGATAAATATTTGGCCAACGGTAGAGATTTTTGTTATACCGGCATATTGCGATAGGTCATTATGTCATTAAATTGCTGGGTTGCACGAGACGAAAGTGCTCCGAGGGACAGGAAGTAAATTTCCCCACTAAGAACAGTGTAAACATTCACTGATTCCGAGTTAAAATGCTCTTTTTCTGTGGCATGTACAGTTGTGGCAACTGCTCATATTCAGTGGGGAACCTATGGAGTCTCTACTTTGCTAAAAAATATTTATCTAATGGGTTTCAATTTTTAGGAAAATGCCTAATAAGGGTCGGGAGAAATGCGCGAGCATTAGCATTAGCCTGCGTAGCATCTGCGGCCACAGACACAGCTGACAGTCCACAGTCTTTACTTGGCTTACTTTCATAGATACAATGCAGTATTTTTGTGTGGTATACGGTTGTAGCAACCGAGGGAACAGAAAGAAAGAACTGTTAAATACATTTTATAATTGCAACCCCCGCTGTTAGCTTACTGCTGTTAGCTTAACGCTAACAGCTCCAGGAGCTCCTTACTTTTTGTCCGAGCGTTTTGTTATTTACAGCTCAACAAATCACCGCTTCAAATGCTGTCTAAAGTAACATTTGTGCCCTATTTATTGTATTATTGATCAGAACTATCATCTCAGACGTGTTTCTGTTGATACCAGAGTGACTCCACTGTAGTCACTAAAACAGCCTTAATCCTTCTCATTGTTGAAAACATTGGACTCACTACAAAGCGTACGCTGCATTAAAGATAGTTTTCACTCATAATAAGAGTGATACTAAGCCGCAAAAAGCTCCTATGTCTGCGTTTTCCAGCACTGCCCATTCCATTTAATAGGAGAAAAATACTTCCTGTCCTACGGCCCCATGCCCCGCCTCCTTTTGGTCATGTGGTTGCAACCATAGACTGTATATATTGCAACCCAGCAATACTGCTTGGAAGTTTGATAATGTTATCTATAATTGCAGTTTTGCACAATACATTTAAATAAGTAAAAATCTTGACTACTTGACTACTCGAGACATATTGAAATTCACACACCAAATTATACAGCAATATATACAGTCTACCGTCTGTGTCCCAAATTATACCGCAATATGAATTTTAGGCCATATCGCCCACCCCTAAATAAACTCAATAGTAGCCATAGTAACCCTTACCTATGAACTACACAAAATGCATACAATATGCAAACTAAGTGTCCCCAAGTCACCACAACAGCAACCACAAAGTTTACTCAGAAAAACTAGTAAACTACAAACATAGCCTTTAACTAAAGCCAAGCCACACACTTGACAAAACCAATGCTGCTACAAAGTTAGGTAAATTACTCTCAAGCAACATACAATGTGTCATCTCAAAAAGTGTTCTCCATTTTCTCTGGACTGTCCCGTTCTGATGGGGTGAGTACGGTGCAGAGGTTTCATGTCTTATTGCGTTCTCTCTCAGCAATGATTGAAACTCTCTGGAAGTAAACTCTGTGCCGTTGTCTGACCTGACTCTTTTCACTTTCCCAAAGGGGCCACATCTGCTAGAAATGTCTGTCGCTTCTACAGTGTCACTTTTAGCTTTCAAGAAATAAACAAAAGTTGTACCTGAAGAGTCGTCAGTAAAAGCTTTTGAGTATCTGAACCCGTTTTCTGCCTCAGGGTCGATCGGTCCCGCTAAGTCAGTGTGCTCCAGCTCTAACGCTGCTTTTGCTCTCTGGTCAGGCTCTATTTCTGGTTTGGATAAACTTCCCTTTAACACACACTTTACAATCTTGCTTAGCTTTCCCTTGGATCTGCAACGAGCTTACAAACAAGCATGGATCACAGCGGAGCACGCAACAAGTTTGATTCAATCACCCAGGAGGAATGTTTACAACAAAGCAAGAGTAAAAACAAACAACGGGAAACCAAAGTCAACTGCATAATGCAGTATTCACCACTGGGTAAAGAGTTCGAACATATCATAAAAAAACATTGGTACATTATCCAATCGGACCCATCTCTACAAAACCTATCGCTCGCACCCAGAGTTGTGTATAAAAGGCCGCCCAACTTGGGTAACAGACTGGTGAGGGCCAACTTACCCACTCAGCCCCAAACACACTTTCTCCAGAACATACCACATGGCAACTACAGATGTGGCGGTTGCATGCAGTGCAACTTCACACACAAGACAACAACTTTTCAACACCCGAGTACTGGGAAGTCCTTCAGAGTCAAAGGCACCATCAGCTGCAAGACGAACAACGTGATCTACATGCTAAGATGCCCCTGCGGCCTGGCATACGTGGGCAAAACGACTAGACCTCTAAAGACCAGAATTTCAGAACATCGGAGCAACATCCGCAATCATGACACAAAAAGCCCAGTGGCTGTCCACTTCACAAAAGAAAAACACAATGTGAGTACATTAAGGTACACAGGTATTGAACACGTCAAACTTCCAAACCGAGGAGGAGACATCAACTCCCAATTACTCAAACGTGAAGCCTACTGGATTTATACACTAGACACACAAAGTCCAAAGGGTCTAAACGAAGACTTTGATCTGAGACCTTTTCTATGATTCATTCTTTTGTGTGTCTTTAGACCTTCCTGTGAGTAAAGGTATCTTTTACTAGTGTAAATATTGTAAATTATAATGTAAATATGTGATGGTGTGAATATTTCACATTTTTTGGTAATGTGTATATTATTGTGTGTATATACATATATGCTGTGGTACCGTCCCATCTCTATACTATAGTATTTTTGTCATCACACTTCAGGGGGGCTACACTTTAATGATAATGTCATTGTTTGTTTATAATTATATTTATTTTTATTTTTTTTGACTATCGAATGAGTCATGTGACCTGTCATCACTGTGTGTATATATACAGGTGTGTAGCCTGTGGTTTCTTTTATGTCTGATGAAGGGTAGTGACCCGAAACGTCACATCTTGTGGTGATAACATTAAAAAAAAACTCTTGGGAGCTAAAAGCTGTGCAGAGTCATCTCCTTTTCTTTTCATGTTTTCTATTATCGACTTTTTTTGCACGCTGCTCAGTATTGGATGTGCGCGTCAACCCCACTTTCTCACATATTTGAACTGAAATCTCTCTCACATCTCCAACTTACTGGGGCCTTTATCAAAACTATACATACAATTAAGTTATTTTTGTCCTTTTGATTATAAACATAGTAACTCTGAGGAGGAAAAGTGAAATTAGTATGAAAATGTTATTTATTACAGAGCTTGGATATCAAGTGAATAAAATATAACACAAATTGAACAGCTATGACTGATAATTACTTAATAGTAGTGAGAATAAGGAGACACAGAATACATAGTTACATGGGTTCTAGCATCCTCAAACTGGATATGTACTTTCATTTGTGCACAGGGGGTTAAGCTCCTATGCAGAAACATCAATAACACTCAAATTAATGGTACAATGTCAACGTTAGGATCCAGATCGTAAACCACCATACGTCATCAGCATTGGTGCAAAAATGAAATAATAGAAGTTATGCATGCTTTAATAAAATGTTTCAATTTAAAGGAAGACACTAATCAAGTTCTTTTGACTTGTGAACAAAATGGCAAATTGAATGCAAAGCTTCAGCTACAAATGTGTCCCATTTTATAACTCTTGTTTACTTGGTTTATTAAAACAATAGATTAAACATTAAGCAGGTTAACAGTTCAAGAATCAAAACTATTGATATTTTTCAATGACATGATAAAAATAGATACACAAATCAAAGTATGTATGTTTTATGAAAAGACTAAATAGACATTAATTTAAATATGGTCACTTAAAGACCCAATCTGGAAGTCCTCCAGTGAAGCCCTTCAAGTATTTGTTGCCACCTTTGAAAAAAAAAAGTGCAGTTTCCAAAAAGGTGAATCTAACATAATACAGTATAACTTAAAACAACACATGAACAAAAAAACTTAATTTTGAAGATTGTGTTTTTGTATACGTATGTCTGCTGGGAATTGAGGAAAACACATTTGAGTATGGGGATGTTTCTATTATTTCCAAGTATTGGCTTTTTGGGAAATGGATGATCGTGAAGGGATCATGTCTAGAAGGTACTCCCTCTGACGAGCATCCACAGATGATTGAGTCTTCTGACCAGTCAAACTGGGGTTTACATAGGCCATCGTTACTCCTGTGAACAAACCTGTGTGTTATAATCTCAATACTTTTTAATGTACCCTTTGTTGGCAATGAGGTTTCAACTATACAATAATTGAAAAAACTATGGTTTTCAAATTATAACATTTTATAATGCCATAAGATCCCTTCTAGATGTTGTTACTTGCAGTACATGTATTATCTGTTGGGTAACAAGCTACACAAGAATGATGATTTCTTACTGCTTAAATCAAGCAAACAAAATGTAAAAACCCACGTACCTGGCCGACTGACCAAAGCTGCGGCCGCAACTGCACTCTGGAGCTGAGAAGAAGATGAGAAGGAGTGAGGAACGCCTCGAGCACCCACTGATGCCACAGTGCCGCGGGACAGCTGCCCGAGTGAGCTCTGTAGGGAGCATGGGTACAAGCTTAACAACATTAACTTTACACATTTGAAATACCTTTAAAGATGTCTTCACCTGCTTGATTGAGTGATTATGAACCAGGTTGACTCTTCGGCTTGATTGGTGCTGTAAGGACGACGCTCTGACGTGTTTTAACTGCTGAGACGCAAGGCGCTCTGCCTTCAGCGATGAAGATGAGCTACTGTGGGATACTTTTGATGAGGCCTGAATAATACACTGGTCAATTTCTTGCTCTTGCTGCAATGCTTTGACAAAAGCTGCTTTTAGCCTGTTAGTATGCTCCGCTTTTAAAGCTTTTTTCAGATTGGACGACATACAGTCTTCACAGAAGACCACACCACCTTTGGTTTTGTCTTTCCTCCAGCGACAGGTGAAGTCAGTCTTGCATTGGGTGCAAAGAAAAGGGTCTCCGACATGAGGTCTGGTGGATGTAAAACCCATTTTTCCTGTTTATGAAGACAACGGTTGTAAATACATGTTTAAAAAGGAAATAATTACACACCTATAAGACAGGGCAGCTCCAGGTTTCATCATGCGTGCACAGACGAACACAGGTCTTTTTGTTCTTGTTTACAACATTGAAAATGTCAGGATTAGGGAACACTATGAAAAATATCCTTTAGTGTGATTAAATCTTGGATAGTTGGTTTTATTTAATGTAAAGCGTTTAAGGCCTTGAATTTGGCTCCACCAAATATGCCTCTTAATTGTTTAAAGACTCTGGAACTGCCCTATAAGATTTATTGACCCAAAACTCACCTTTGCGGAAAGTGTCAAGTAGATTCTGAACTACTTCTTCAAGTCCAACTAGATAGATAAATTCATTATTGGCAGCTGAAGGCAGAAAGTTAAACTCTGGGGCTGGAGGCTTTGGAGGAGGTATTTCCAGGAGCGTCTTCTCCAGCTGTTTCCTCAGAGCGAGTTTTGCTGCAGCTTGGCGACTGGCAGGAGAGTCATTGATCACAGACAATCCACTTCCTTTCATGGTCGAGGCACCCTTTGAAATTAAATCTAAGGATTAAACCGGTTTTGGAATGGATCTGTTACAAGCTGGGGTACCTAAACTCTGTCAACTTCTATGAATTCTATGATCATCTTATTGTGAAACGTATTGTTTTGCAAACTTGCAAAGAACAGTCCTCTGAGGTACTATTTGATGCTTTTGGCTCTCAGCAAGGACAGTCCTCAAATTTGTGAAAGCTGTGAAAACTAATGACAGAACCAAACTGTTTTTGAGAGGGTGAGAACTATTTCACATAGTTATATTTGTTGTGGTTTGAACATAGGGTACTCACATGTATTCATTTATTTTTGCTTATTTTTAAAAGTGGATTACCAAGGTGCTGCCATTATTTCCCATTTTGTTGTGGCCTGACTGGACCAAACCTCGCTGACTGTGGGAGGCTGGTGCTGAGTTCCTGGTGCCAAGGAGCAAAGGAGGGGGTCCTGATCCTGAATTTCCTGTCGGAGAAAATTGCTGTCGGAGAGCCTGGATCTGCTGGTGAGACATAGAAATGGGGAAAGCACAATCACAAAGAGACAACACAGGGACAAAGATGCAACAGGACAAAAGATCGATGCAAATCAGTGCTTGGCTAGATATACCCAGAGAATAATGACGTGTGGAACATCTTTGGGCGCAAAAAAAGCGCTATATAAAACAAATGCATTATTATTATTATTATTATTAAAGCTGCTCATGGCTATAGTACGGCTTGTGAATGTTCTTTCATTGACCTTTCATATACAATTTGATCTAGCAGTCAGGGAAATGGCTCTTGTGCTTGTACACCCACAAACCCAGAAACGTGGGAGATTAGGATTAGGAAATGATTACGGTAATGCATTATGGCAATACATATCCATAATAACTCGAAAGGGAACAGAAACTTCGGGATAATGAGTGATGGAGCTCAGTTCACCTGTGCTCCTCGAACAAGAGGCGGCATGGAAACCTGGGAGCCATGTTTCGACTGCCCACCGCGCACTAGTGGTGGTGGAACAACAGTACTGGAGTTATGACTTGTCAAAATCTGAAAAGCAGTTTTAATGCATCTATCAGCTTTTTAAAAAATATATTAACAAATCATGGGATACAAATAAATGTTTTTCATTATTGTATAATCATTCAGTCAAGACATTGGTTCATTACCTGTTGTGAGCCTTTACTGCCAGCTATAGTCCCTCGAATAAGAGGAGGTGGCACAGAGGATCCAGTTGAACCAGAAGCCTGAAGGGGTAGAGTTAAACAACAAATCAATAAGGAACGTGAATAACACTGATAATGATAAAACTTACCTTGTGAATAGTATCCCTCTGTATTTGGCTCTGTCTGAGTTTCTTTAGAAGAATCAGTTTGGCCTCTTCCAGCCGCAGCTCTTCCTTCAGCTGCTTTATGACACGTCCCCTCTCTTCAGCACTGCTCTTCTACACTCAGGAAGACCATAAATCAGCACCAGCAGACTTAGGACAGAAATGATACAAATGTCATACCTTCAGTAGCTCCTTGTCCAACTCCTTAAAGAGACTCCGGACGTTTATTTGTGGGCTGGCTGAGTCGTTATCTGACAGAATAATGACATCATCATCTTCAGGAGACGAAGAATGGTTCTCTCGTTTGATACTGTATGGAAGATATATCAGATTTTGCATGAAGTAACAGTAATTTACTTTCTGGTGTACAAATCCAGCAGGATTCCATGTAAATATGTATCTATCTACTATAGCCGTAGAAAATTTCCTCCTCGGAGGGTGGTTAACTACAGGAGGAAGTTTCGATCATACACTCATTCATCCACATTCCTTCCTCTAGGCCCCTCAGGTAAATAATGTAGAAACAGTATTCACTGTTATTATGGAATTTAACATTCATATTACATTATTTTAGGCCTACAAACAGAGGCCTGTTCCTTTAAACTGGGTTGGAGAAGTTAACTTTGCACTCTCTTTGTTTACGTTCAGCTAGAAATAATTACCAAGAAACACCAACATGGACCAATCCTCACTGGCATGAGACAAATCTTTACCCAAACATCCTGGCTTCAATTTATCAGAGTAATTGTTCTACAACATATGTTAATTCAAAACATTTATTCTCAAAATAGATAGTTTTTTGGGGGACAGTGCACATTAATCAACATGTGTCCATGTAAATGTGCCAGATTGAGCCATGGACACCATCTGTAGTCTCTTGGCAGGTGGATGTTTCATCCATCAACAAATAGAGCTAACAATATCAAAAGCCACATACAAACATAAAAAGCTGGTTAGTAAAAGCAGCAACACTACAATCATGAGAACACAGACACAAACAAGGACATCAACAAAAATGCACAGGTTATGAGTCCACATTGTGACTGCAGCTTTAACGGTTCATCAGCCACAGTTTGAGAAACTTTGTGAAGGTGTTGAGAATCTGACAGTGGACATAATACTTAATGTATGCCTGTATAAAGTTTAACGGTAATTTTATGTCTCACAATAATATACATCATATTGCTACTTAAAGAGGTTTAGAGGCCAGAATATACATTCAAATACGGCTAGAGGGCCCAGTATAGGTCGAAATAGGGCAAGAAAAAGAATGAAAAAGAACCAGACAAACACAAATAATTATAGCGTTGGTTCGAGGCCTGTATTTCTTCAAAGCCTCAAGTTGTGTAAGAATTGTGCTATACAAATAAACTTGCCCTTTGAGGATTTGAAATTGGGATTGTAGTTTATTTTCTACATAATGGAGAGAAATTACCTGGAAATGTCTGGATGACCATTAATTACATTTAATAAAATATATAAAATCTACAAAAAATGAATTGATTAGATTAAATGAAACTGATTAAACTTTCTTACTGATGCTGAGTTGCATTATGTCCTAAATAATATTTTAGTGTTTAGCAGAAAAACAGTAGCTCAATGTGGTATCTGCGGGACCAAACCACATATATACGCTGGACTCGAGAGCCGGACTTAGGAGCAGGCTGCGCGCTCTGATTTGCTGTTTTGATCTGTAACCATCTGTTTCGTGGTTATCCGGGCGTTTCACAGCCTCTCGAGGGTGAAGGAGAAAGATCGCTCTCTAACTAAAGATTGACAGAATCAATGAAAAAAATACTCCGGGCATGTGTATGAAGGCCAAATAGCACTGTAATCATGTTTAATGCAGAGAAAAGTCAAAATGCGTAATATTGGCCCTTTAATGCGAACATGCCTCCGACTCCCGGATCAGTGATAAGAGGAGATAGTTCCTCTGTGCATTTACCAGAATGCAGGCTCACTCTCCACCTGCTCGACCAAATAAACCTTTCCTCAGCATTGTCAGGGATGTTTTTTTATTTCCTTGAATAATTATATCAACTTGATAATAATTATTTCTATCTGCAGAATGTTCTTAAAGGGCCAGTGTGTAATATGCATCTTTTGTGGTCTAATAAACTCATTTATATCACAATCTACTCATGGGCTGCACCCCCTCCTTGCCTGGATTGATAGCCTGTCCGTGCAAGGAAGTGGATCCCTCACCCAATGTGGGCCTTCCTGAGGTCTCTCACTTTTTTTTAGTAAGAGTTTTACTCGCCCTGCATCGGGTCTAAGGACAGTGGTGATGATCCAGGACACTCAACTCAACATTTATCAACGTGGACATTATGGACATTGGTCATCTGCCCCTTTTGGACTAATGGCTTTTTTTTTTAAATCATTGCTTATCTTGTTTCTACAGCCCCTTTAAAGATTGACTGATTTAGTCAAGACTATATCTTACCTTTTACATGTGGTCATATCCACAGGCTGATCCGCAGCTTGAACTTCAACCTTGATTGTGGCTTCCACCTCATCTGCAGCCAACATGTCACCAGTCGCTTTTGTCTCAGTTTGTTGCACCCAGGTTCTTTTATCTGTGGTGATTTCTCTCCTCCCATGATTGGGGCTGTCTGTGCATTCAGTCTGATTGTCCAAGCTGGACTCCTCTTTTGGTAATTGTGGCGGCTCATTCTTTGCTGGTTGACAGTCTAATGATAAAACTGAAGACGATGAAGTCTGTGCAATTATGTCTTGACGCTGCTCTTCATCATGCTCATTGCACTGCTCGGAGAGACTGTCCTGGGATTCAGAGCTGTCAACTTTTGTTTGACTCTGTGATATGGACTCCAATTCCATGTCAAGTTTATGCTTTTTGTGTTCATTGTCAGTGTTTGAGGTCTCCGTGGAGGGAACTTCTCTCTCAAGCGCCCTCTTCTGGCTCCGAGTCTGACGGATAGCCTCCTCAGACATCCCCTATACAGAAAAACAGATTTGTTGAACTCATCTGAACATGGACTGTCCGCAAAGAAACAATGAGCAGTTTGCAGAGTTATATGAATGTAAATCTGTTAACAGGAAGTTCCAAAGCCTCATACCTCTGAACATAGGATTTAAGTCAATTTGTTTGTAATAATGAGTAAAAATACAATAAATTGCACATCAAATGTAAACAAATGCAAGCAAACAGCTTGTGAAAACACAAACTGCTAAATATACAATGAGGATCCGAAGTCCTCATTGACGGCTACATACTGCTAAAAGATGTCACACGATGGCCAGTAAAAATGTACAAAAACAGTGTCATGACACCTCTGTAGTGCCACAATCATAGTGTCTTTGCTGTAAAAAAAAATACAATAAGAAAACACAGCAACAATAAAGATAAATCTACAGACTATCAAGTAGAACATAACCAGAATGGAATGTTATTATCCATATGTAATTTTGAACGTAGGATGAAGTTGTACCTACAGAAAAGTTTGAATTCTCTGATCATAAAGACACATGACTTGATGACCCTTCCCAGTATTCAGTGGGACACACAAAGCACTTTGCTTGAGAACTGGTTCAAGCCAGTTGGCTTGTGTGTATGCGAGTATGACCGAGAGCGTAGCTGAAGCTTGTTTTAACCCTTAACATACTAAAAGAGACACAGACTGATCTTGGACTATCAAGTCCACTCTTCTTGTAAACATTAGACCAGACTGCACTAATGCAAGCCAGATTTGATTGCACTTCACAGCTAAACTGGAAATCAAACTTGCATACATACATTCTATTACTTCTTACCACTCCCTTTCATGCAGAATCAATCTTTTTGCAGTAAATATAATTACATACCATTGTCTGAAATACATTTTAAAAAGAAATGAAAAGAAAAAGGAAAAATTACAGTTGCTGAAAAACAGAAATAAGAAACTGAAGCTGAGAATCAAAGCAAGTGTAGATATGGACTCCACATGAACCTAACTGCCCCATGATCCTAGCTCAGACTCAGCCTCAGCACACAGCGTCGGCAGATACCTGCAGATCGTAGCCATTACCCCACATGTCGTTAAAGATGCCATACCCATTTAAAAAAAAAAAAGCTTATTACTACATACAAGTTGTATAATAATCCGTAATTTAATTGAAAACTTGAGCTCATTAATTCAGCTTGTGTATGAATTCAGGCCGTAAAAAGTGCTGAGTAGAAACTTCCGCTCTCCTCCACTCACAGAACGAGGCTGCGTCCTCTAGCTTCTACAGCGTAGGTAAGCACAGTAGCATGTTAGCAGAATTGGCTATAACTCCTCTTGCTGTAACTGCAGACCATGGATCTATAATAATAACTGAACTTTTTTTTTTCTTAAATCCTTCTGTTTTCTTTAAATCCACACTTTACTGCAACAAACTCTGCTCCTTTCCTTCCCGCTCTGGCTCCACTCTGCTGCTGTTCTGATCAGCAGCGCTGATCAAAGCGCAGCCGAGCCCCTCTGTGCACGTGCATGAAAGCCACACACGCGTATTTGGCGCAACGCATCATGGGAGCTCGTCCACTGCACAGAACCGGGAGGACCAGACGATTCCCAAATATAGGCTACTGAGCACAAGCCATTCATTTGAAAAGGGCGCTATCTTGGATCACCGGGGCTTGCTGCAGACACAGCAAAACAGCCCAAACAACACAACAGTGAGGAAGAGAAGAGGGAACTAAAGCGAAAACATGGTCAAAGAAGAAATCAAGCCCTGGTGAACATAGCTAGCTTACATCGTATCCCCTGGAGAGACTTGTCTATGGGATCTTGATTTTGGTGCAAATTAGTTGAAAGATCAACTTTCTGCCTAAAACCGTCTGTGAGTACTATCTATGCTCGTACTACAGTACAGCTTACAAGAAGTTGCGCTCATGCTAATGTTTGCATATACAGTGCACCCTTGAACCTTTCAAATTTAATTTAATTTAATTTAATTTTTTGTCATGAATTAACAACAACTGGGACACAATCGTGAAGTGGAACGAAATGTATTGGATAATTTAAACTTTTTTGACAAATAAAAAACTGAAAAGTGGGGCGTGCAATATTATTCGGCCCCCTTGCGCTAATACTTTGTAGCGCCACCTTTTGCTGCAATTACAGCTGCAAGTCGCTTGAGGTATGTCTCTATCAGTTTTGCACATCGAGAGACTGGAATTCTTTCCCATTCTTCCTTGCAAAACAGCTGGAGCTCAGTGAGGTTGGATGGAGAGCGTTTGTGAACAGCAGTCTTCAGCTCTTTCCACAGATTCTCGATTGGATTCAGGTCTGGACTTTGACTTGGCCATTCTAACACCTGGATACGTCTATTTGTGAACCATTCCATTGTAGATTTGGCTTTATGTTTTGGATCATTGTCCTGTTGGAAGATAAATCTCCATCCCAGTCTCAGGTCTTTTGCAGACTCCAACAGGTTTTCTTCCAGAATGGTCCTGTATTTGGCTCCATCCATCTTCCCATCAATTCTAGCCATCTTCCCTGTCCCTGCTGAAGAAAAGCAGGCCCAAACCATGATGCTGCCACCACCATGTTTGACAGTGGGGATGGTGTGTTCAGGGTGATGAGCTGTGTTGCTTTTACGCCAAACATATCGTTTTGCATTGTGGCCAAAAAGTTTGATTTTGGTTTCATCTGACCAGAGCACCTTCTTCCACGTGTTTGGTGTGTCTCCCAGGTGGCTTGTGGCAAACTTTAAACGAGACTTTTATGGATATCTTTGAGAAATAGCTTTCTTCTTGCCACTCTTCCATAAAGGCCAGATTTGTGCAGTGCACGACTGATTGTTGTCCTATGGACAGACTCTCCCACCTCAGCTGTAGTTATCTGCAGTTCATCCAGAGTGATCATGGGCCTCTTGGCTGCATCTCTGATCAGTCTTCTCCTTGTTTGAGATGAAATTTAGAGGGACGGCCGGGTCTTGGTAGATTTGCAGTGGTCTGACACTCCTTCCATTTCAATATAATTGCTTGCACAGTGCTCCTTGAGATGTTTAAAGCTTGGGAAATCTTTTTGTATCCAAATCCGGCTTTAAACTTCTCCACAACAGTATCTCGGACCTGCCTGGTGTGTTCCTTTGTCTTCATGGTTCTCTCTGCGCTTTAAACAGAACCCTGAGACTATCAAAGAGCAGGTGCATTTATACGGAGACTTGATTACACACAGGTGCATTCTATTTATCATCATCAGTCATTTAGGACAACATTGGATCATTCAAAGATCCTCACTGAACTTCTGGAGTGAGTTTGCTGCACTGAAAGTAAAGGGGCCGAATAATATTGCACGCCCCACTTTTCAGTGTTTTATTTGTTAAAAAAGTTTAAATTATCCAATAAATTTTGTTCCACTTCACGATTGTGTCCCACTTGTTGTTGATTCATGACAAAAAATATTTTTTTTATATCTTTATGTTTGAAGCCTGAAATGTGGCGAAATGTTGAAAGGTTCAAGGGGGCCGAATACTTTCGCAAGGCACTGTAGATCGCAAATAAAACTAGATGGCTCCGTGGAATGAGAGCGTAGGGGAAATGAGAAGCCGGTGAGCGAGTTGAGGGGCGGTGCTAAACATTCAATCCTTGCAAAAAGAGTTCATAAAAATGCTTATGCTTATTTCAATTGAAAACTTGAGCTCATTGATTCAGCTTGTGTATGAATTCAGGCCATAAAAAGTGCTGAGTAGAGACTTGGCGTGACGCCAGCTCTCCTCCAATCACAGAACGAGGAGCGAACAGGCTGGGTCCTCTAGCTTCTACAGCACTTGTAAACAAGAGCAGAATGGAGGCAGAAAGTGCCTTTATACCTCTCTGGCTCTACAGCAACAGTGAGGAAGAGAAGAGGGAACTAAAGCGAAAAAATTATCAAAGAAGAAATCAAGCCCAGGTGAACATAGCTAGCTTACATTGTATCCTCTGGAGGGACTTGTCTATGGGAGAGACCTGCGGGAGCGGGACATCGGACTACATTTGTACGCGAAACTAGCGGTAACCTTTCAAAGTTATATATTTTGTTAGCAGTGCGTTGCTTTTGTATCATTTCATCAGTGATTTCTGTACAGCTTAAGTTGCGCTCATGCTAATGTTAGCATATGTATCAGATCGCAAATAAAACTAGATGGCTCCGTGGAATGAGAGATCTGTGAGCGAGTTGAGGGGCGGTGCTAAACATTCAAACCTTGCAGAAACGGGTATAGCTCCTTTAATTACAGCTTAAAACATGTGGTCCTGAGCATGGCTTCAAAGCACTCTTTTTAGAGACTGCACAGCATTTTTGATGTCGCCGGCAGTATGTAGTGGTGTAATTTATCACATTACATTATTTAATGAGTAATCAGTAACTTATGTTCTAATTCAGAAAAATAAATGTGATTTATGAATCACGAAATACAACTATTATGAATGTGTTCTTTGAAAAATAGATAAGCTTGTTTAATGAGTAAGGCTGGCTCACCAATATATTGACTTCTTTCAACCTCTTAAGAAATATATATCTTGACATTTTTGACCAGAAAAACCTGCTTATCAGTATGAGAGGTTGGAGACCCCATGATATGTAGAGTGAGTTTTGGGGTATATTTGGCTTTTACTGCATCACCCCCTGTCCCAGTCGTAGTGCACTTATCCACACCACTCACGGACCGCTTGCTCCACCATCTGCACTATCTCTTTGAACTATTTTTATTTTTTTTTATTACAGGCAAAGTTTGTTTTCAACTTCATCTGTGCTAGCTTGAAACATCTCTCCATAAGGACAGTGACTGCTCCTATAACTTCCTCCAACAACATCCTCCTCAGGTCATCGCAAAGACGTGAAAGAATGCACCAACATGATTTTGCATTTAACAGCAGCTGTGAAAATGGAAACTGAAACTACAGCTTCACATGGTTTCGTTTGGACGGACAAAGGAGTAGAATTCTCCTCTATGTATCGCTCGAAGCACACGTTAGCATTATTTCTTATCTACCATACATGTCCAAATTTATACGTGCAGGGGGGTGGTGAGGTCATAGGAGGCAGAGAATTCACACCTTTTTCTTCACACAGCTGTGAAACAGCCCTCCGCTGAGCAGCGCATTTGTTCTGTTCCACTCTGGAGGCTGTTTCTCAACGCTTGCATTATCACCCCCCTGAATCACTGTCTTCATGTAAACAAAAGGCCAATCCGATATCCGACTGTACCGTTTTATTGTTGCAACGTCCGCTTGTAAACAGCACCTGAGAGACATAGCATTCTCTCAAATGGACATTGGTCTCTGTTCCTTATGGACCAATGGCTCTATGTTTTTTTAATCATTGCATTTCTTGTGTTTGAACGGTTTGATTCTCTGATCTGTGCTGGCGATCTGTGAATAAATAAATAAAAATAAATTACAAAATCTGACCTGTAAGGACTGATACGTGTTTATTGACATTGGGTAAGGGGAAACTTCAGACCATCAGAAAATGGGTGCAGCATCTCGGGTCGCCTCTGAGCGTGTAAAGTTGGTAATACCCTTTACAGATAATATTATAGATCCACAATTTGAGATTGAGGGAGGACTGTACATTAGTTTGGGCGATAGGTGTGTAGGAGAAGAGCAGGTACTGAACTTGTAAAAGGAAGCACTCCTGCACACTGTCACTGTCTTGCTCTTTGAATATTTTTATTGAATACAAGATAAATTTCATTCATTTATTGGATGCAAATATGAAGAATTTGAACACAAGATGTGTAACCAGAACAGCATATTAATAGCAGCGTAATGGAGCAATACTGTTGTAATAACATAAACAAAAGGAGAATAATTGGTAATATTACGTTTTTAACTATCTATCTAAATACATAGTCAGTGATATAATCATTAGTAATTTAACTACAGAATTCAACATTCTAAACTCAGGAGACAAAAATCACACAGTGATTGAGTCTGGTGTTTTTGTTTGATGTTGTTTTTGAAATGTATTTGATCAGGATGTATTCAAAAGGCATCACTTAACCTAATAGCAAAGCCGTTCCATGTATCATTATTAGTCAGGGAGATGGTTGAATGTTTTGTTAGTTTGAGTCGCACTAGGACCATAGACTGTATATATTATTACTAGGACTCGAGTGGAGTAGAGTGTGTATGTGGTGCTGGGCCAGAGGAGTGCGCGCTGTGCGCGTCAGCGTGTTCAGCTTTAAGAGGAGGAAGACTATGGTTGTCACAGAGCGAAGTAGGAAGATTAGCTCCAGATAGCACCAACACTGGTGCCACAAGGCGGACAACGACATTCAGCATGACCAATTCTACAAACTCACCATCCAGAGCCCAGTGCCTCAGTAAACACTGAAAGTTTGTCACCAAGCACACGTGCATTCAGCCGGCTTTTTACATGATTGACAAACTCTTCAAGAGCAGATCATTAGTTAGCAAGCTAACATTAGCTTCATCGTAAAAACACATTTTATTAGGAGCTGTTATTTGATACATGTCGTATTTACATCTTATTTGGGGATTTTAATGTGCACATAAATTGCTCCATTGTTTTAACGGGATGACCCACACGACAAGAACCGAGCCCAGATCCGTGACCTGGCTGCTCCGCGAGGCTGGACGTTTTCCCGTCTCGAAGGGGTAGATTTTACGCTACAAACTTTCATCATAGAACCACAAAAGTGCCGGAGAAAGCAGTTTCCTGAACTGTTTACCTGGATTTCCTCTCGGCAGATACAACCTTTGCTTCGGAACTCATCAATTTTAGTCCGAACTGAGCCCGCTGCAGCCGAGCCGCTGGCGACTGTGTCCTATCCGCACCTTTTAACCACTGTGTAAAGCAGACATCGAATACGCGGTCACTGAACGTTCACAAAACATAACATTTTGAGAGAACACCCCCCTCCCCAGAGCTCAACCTTTGGCTCTGCGGAGAAGTGTTACTTTTCAACAGCCCATCAGCGTCTTCATCGTCACAGAGAGGTGGAGGAAGACCTGATCCTCGCGACGCGTCCGAATAAAAGACGACCCTCTATTCGCTCACTAAAAACTTCACACTCCTTTGAGACAACTTACTTGGTCGTTAAGACACTTCTTCTTCAACGATGGTAGACTAAGGAATGTCCAAGCAGCAGATAACCTCGATAAATGGCTGTTTTTAATCCAGGGTATATCCTCTTTTTTTCGGCCCTCCCCACTGCCGCGTCTGTTGCCAAATAATGCGCCTCATCACACATTGAGCCGCTGCGTCCTTCAGTGGGCATGCGCACCTCGGCATACCAGGGCGACCGGATCACATACGTGGAGCCCACTGACCACATGGGCCAAGACGAGGACCACGTAGGGCCAGTGTGCTCTTTGCCCCCGCCTGAGGACCAGCCGTCATGTGACATGTGCACATGCCACTGGAGTTCAAGAACTTTCATGTTTTAGTATTAGTCCATCTACTCTAGACACATGAAAAAGCAAAGAGGGCTGAAGGAGTGACCACTCTCAGACATGTTTGTGTGATGTGTGATAATTGTCCCTCTGTATTCAATCGATGGGTTCCTGCCTCCTGTTTCCGATACAAATTGAGGACTTCTCCATTCTGAAATGATTACACTGTGCCATTCTGCCCCAGGGCAGCTGTGATTTTGTAGAATCTAAATATTGTGTGTGAACTGAATTCATAATTCACAAAGCAGACTCGTGTAGTATTTACTGCTTTTACTGAATGGTTTCACTATGGCAAAAGTCATCACTCCAGTGCAAGGTACACTTTTGCAGGTTAACTCTGAATGAAGTTTCAGAATTGGCTCACTATAAGCTCCAGCTTTCTCTGTGGTGACAAAGGTAATAAGAGCTCGTATCCAATCCTTTCTTATCCACAAACATGATAAAACACTTTTTTTTTTGTGACAGATGGTGCTCCATTGGCCAGTGGTGTAAATGTCTTGACATCATTTAGAATACATCTTCATTGGGAACAGGCAAAGATTGAAGTAAATAAGTTGCCCTATTTCTACCAAATCGGAAGTAAAAATTAAAAACCTCTCCAAAGGAAATATCTTCAGTCAATCTTTTGTATTCCACTGAATCCGGTGTAATATAACTTCTCACATTAAATCTTTTCACACATTGCTTTCTGCTTCCTGTTTCATGCAAGAAGAATTCCCTCTTTAAAAGTACATAATGTTATTTTTTCTTGAATTCTTCATAAGTATAACAACGTAGCTCAGTTGGTAGAGCATTGGCAGCGGGTCATGGGTTTGAGCCCGACTTCCACCATCGCCTACTGCTGTCGTTGTGTCCTTGACAAGACACTTAACCTCTGGGAACACCAGCCATAGTGGGGCGGCTGCGGCTGTAAAGTGCCAAACTGCCGTTGTGTCCTTAGACAAGACACTTTACCCCCATTGCCGAGAATGAGTGTGGTCGGAGGGGTTGAGGGCACATACTGGTTGCCTTGCTTCTGTCAGTGTGCCCCAGGGCAGCTGTGGCTACAGTCTTAGTTTATCACCACTATGTATGGAGTGAAAGAATAATGACATGTAAAGCGTATTTGAGTGTCCAAAAAAGCGCCATATAAAACCGATTTATTATTATTATAGCAGTCACCCTGACATAATGAAAAGAACCGCTTGAGAAGAATGAGATGAATCAGGAAGTGAGTTTGACTATATCCATTGCTCAGTGGTTAATGCTGTCCCTCCTACCCCACTTTTCACACAATGGTTACATACAAATCAATGAAAAATATATTTTTACATGTTATCAATTACATCCATCATGAAATTGATTAACTTGGCTCACAACAGATGGAGGTGTGAATCCCTCAGGACTGTTCCACTACATGTTTTGTGATTCTTAAGGGTTTGTTAACTCTCAAATTCATTTTGCTGTGCAAGGCTACGACTTCATCATGTTACTTACAAATGTCAGTGTAATATAAATGACAGTGTTTTTCAGTGATTTAGTTGTGTAACTCAGAATTTAAAATACTTGTAACTAAAAGACATAAAACATCTTTATTTTAACATAAAGGCACACTGACACATGTGATAATTTTTTTTCATATTGTGACAAAGGTAATCCAAAAGTCTATTAGTTGTCATATGTCATAACTCATTACATTGTTAAAAAGTAAGTAACAGTAGCTCAGTTGGTAGAGCATTGGCCTTTGGGCCTGAAGGTCGTGGGTTCAAACCCACAACGGGGCGTACTCCAACTGCTCCCACTAAAGTAACTTAATCCCACATTGCCTGAAGCTGTGGCACCACTGATGTAGCAGCCATCTTCCTGTGGACTCACCACCTGCAGAGGATCAGTGAGGGACTGGTGCTATGAGCATTGGGTGGCAGCTCTCATTGCCACCCTCTGACCCAGAAATGGACTTGTAAAGTGGCAGAGAATGAATGTATTTATTATTTGCAGAAAGCCATCAAGAAAAATCTCTATATCAGAGCAGCTCAGAGATGTAATATTACTTTCTTGCTATGTAAACATCTTTTATTGATTTCAACATGACATTCACACAGTGGCATTACCAAACGTTGAAGTCCCACTTACATGTAAGTGGGACTAATTTTTTTTTCCCTCTGTATATGAATTTCCCCACATGAGATGAATACATTTGACACATTAAACATATACAATTTAAATCATATTTCACCAGTTGGATTGTCCAAGGTTGATCACATATGATTAGCAAGACACTTTGCATTTGAGAAACTGCCTTGGCTTTTCCGAGTGCCTGCAAATAGACTGTACAAATATTTCTAAATATTCTAGTCATATGTCTTTTTGGACTTCTTATCACACCTTCACAGCTCCTTCTTCCCATGATGCTGTGTGATGTCATCCCATAATTGGGCTTTTGAAACTTAAAGGGACTATTCAACTTTTTATGTTTATCTTTTTGCATATTTGGTCAGCATGACGCCTTTACTTTCAATCACAGTGGTCTCTAGGATAATATAAGATTAGCTATCCTAATTCTTCTATAATATTGGGTATCGATCAAATTAATAATGAACTAATAAACTACTGAATTATAAGGCATTAATTTAAATTACTGAATGGTGTTCAGCCTGCAGTTCTGCTCACGTAGTAGCTTCAGTCTGGAAGCTACTACCCATCCATCAGTTTTGATGGATGGGCCTAGACAAGTAAACATTATGAGGGGACCTTTGTAGTTGGCACAAGAAAGTGAAGGAGCCCAATATTTCCATTAATAAGCATTATTTTTTCCATGGAAGGATCTCAAAATATTCTTTCAATGTGCCCCAACTTCATGGCATTGCGCATCATCACTGCCTTATTTTATTAATTTATTTAATCAGCACATCTGCTGTGGTCCTTTTGTTTTCTCGTGGAAAGGACGTATTTGTCGTTTGTTTCTAGTCGGACCCATTTTTATGTAGAACCAACTGCGTAACCTACTATTCACATTTGCTTTTACGCGGACTTTTTTTTCCCTAAACGCCTCGTTGCTGCTTCATTCCAACTCGTAACCTAAGTTACGGACAGAGGCTGACTATTGAGTGAAACAGTGAGGCGGCGGCTATAGCACCTTTCGTTTTTGCTGTCTGTGAGTATTCATTGTATTATCAGGATTGACCACACTTGGTGGAGCTAATGTAAATTACAACTGTGACTACTGTGTTTGTATTTTCGTAAGTTGTAAACATGTCGCGGAGAAGAATTGCACAAGAAACCTTTGATGCTGCTGTGAGGGAAAACATGGAGGAGTTTGAGATGGGTCCTGCTGAGGCTGTCAGTGAAGCTGTGGAACAGTTTGAGTCTCAAGGTAGCTGTACAATTAAACACGCCAATTATTTCACCATTAGCAATGCTACTCTTATCTATCCTTGCTAGTCATCCTTTAAGTCTAAAGGGTATGGCTATTATAATTCAATTTCTTATTGTATCTGGTTCTTACACTTTTTTGGGGGGAATTTCAGGTGTGGATCTTAGCTGTATAGTCAAGGCCGTACCAACAGGATCATGTGATGACCAACAAGAGAACCATCAAGTGTTATTGGTCAGTGACATATTAAGCACAGTTTGGGATTTTGGATCACACAAGACTTGTATGCTCCTTCTCTCACTCTAGGCACTGGAGGCCATCCGAATTGGAAATGGCATGACGATTTTATCAGATATCAGGCAGTTCACTGAGCAGTGTTCATTTGGCTTTGCACAGAGGTACCTGGCAGCCCAAAAAGGAGCATATGCTGTAATTCTTTCTTTTTGTAAAAATTGTAAAGAGGTACAAGATGCAGCATTAGCTGGCTTGTTGGCCCTTGCCGCTCTTACTGATGGACAACCAGATTTGCTGGATGCAGATGGACAAATGTTTCTTTTGGACATACTCAAAAAATATCAGGATAGCCCTACTGTCCTATGTGCAGCTTTCCGAACACTGCGTCATTGCTGTTTGAAACATGAGCAGAACAGACAGGACCTGGTCAAAATGGGTGTTCTGGCTTTACTCATCAGAGGAATTGCACAACATGGTGAATGTGCTGAAATAGTCAAAGAAGCATCCTGCGCTCTCAGGGTCATGACGTTTGATGATGATGTCAGAGTTGCCTTTGGACAGGCTCATGAACATGCCAAGATGATTGTCCTGGAACATAATGGACTTAAGGTTGTGATAGATGCTGCAAAAGGTAAAGCCCAAGTAGCCTTTGAATCTTTTTGTGTATTACATGATTATTGATCACATTTGCCTCTTTTTCCTCAGCTCATCTCAGTAATACATCTGTACTGAGTGAAGTCTGTGCAACTTTGTCTCGTCTAGCTGTAAGAAATGAGTTTTGTCAAGATATATGTGACTTGGGAGGATTGAAACTCATCATGACATTGCTGGTTGAGAATTATGAATCACAGGTACAGTGCAATGAAATAGGCGTTCACCTTTGTTTAATACTCCCTAACATACTGCTTTTATATCTGTTCAACTTCACACTGTTATAGGAATTGGTCCGACAAGTCCTAAGTGCCATACGTGCAATTGCAGGAAATGATGATGTGAAGGATGCAGTTGCTGCTGCTGGTGGAGTGCAACTTATAGTCATTGTTATGAATAAACACATAACCAATGCATCTGTGAGTTAAACCTTCAAAGCTGTTTTTTAGCATTTACATTTGAGTGACTTTAAACTATTTACTCAAGGTTTGCGAGCAAGGTTGCGCATGCCTGTCTGTGCTAGCTCTGCGTAAACCTAACAACTGCAAAGTTATAATGGAAGAGGGTGGAACTATGGCTGCTGTGCAAGCTATGAAGACCCATCCTAATGCAGTTAATGTGCAGGTAATGTCAGTTAATAAATCACAATTATAACACAACATGTTATATTTGTTTCATCTTTTATTTTAGAAACAAGCATGCATGCTGCTGAGAAATGTTGTTTCTCGAACACAAACCTATAGCCAGTTAATCCTAGAGATGGGAGCCGAATCCCTCATTGCATCAGCCTTACAGAACCACCAGGACTGCAGTGATGTTGCAAAAGCAGCACTCCGAGATTTGGGATGCCAAGTGGAGCTGCGGGAGCTGTGGACTGGGAAACACGGTGGCATTACCAACTGATAATCAACAAATATTATGTAAAATGTTGACTTATTTGTTAATGTACATACACACGAGGTGTATTCTTAAAGGTTGAATTGTCCCCACTGTGGAAATTAAGCTTCTCTTATCTTACTGTGCATATCTAGTCTAGCACTTATTTATGTTATACTTTGAAAAAACAAATAAAACAGATGACCAATCACAATCAGGTTGTGTTTTATGTCTTGTTAGTGTTTTACTTATAGATTATAATCTTGACTCCTCATAATGTTCTACTATTTGGGTCCGCCCTGATAATAATGGCTACGCCTCTCATTTGGCCTATCAAAATCCCTTATCGCTGCGTACTACAGTACCCATAATGCCTTGCGCACGTCCTTGCCAAACAAACCAGTGAGGTCTGTGCTGGATGACAGGAGATATCGAAACATGTCCACTAGCGAGTGCTTAAACCAAATCCACTCGTTATAATGGAGTATGTTAGTAAAATGAGGCGTTTGTAGGATTAGCTCCGACTCTCGAACAATATCTGTTTATATACATGTTTGTAACTTGGTGGTTAGCAGCTAGCAAACGTTATCTAACTTAACGGGTTATGCCGCAAAAAGCTACGCAGATCGACAGAAACTAAAACAATCGTATGAGTTTGGTGTTGTGGACGAAGATCTTATGGTAAGAAACTCGATATTAGTTTGAAAAGTAATAGAAAACACACCTTTTGGACAATCTATATATATTCTATCCTTTTTATTCAGTGTATTCTGCTGTACTTGATTACGTGAACTTAAATCATTGATCTTTTATGCTGTTGATTTTGAAATGCATATAACTTATGACTAAAGAATGAGAATGTATGAGATGTGTGTGTGGGGAGGGACTGCAGCTTTGTATTTTGAGCTCTGCTGAGGCGAGGACCTTTCACCTGCATGTGCTCAACTTAGCCCTTGTCTGGTGTATCTTTTACCAGACTAACGGAATATAAATCATTTCTTTTCTTGCTCTGTTCTACTCCATAATATAGTGTTTTTGTTTTGTAAAAATAACAAGGTAAAGCGCAGTGTATTACTGGGGAATCATTGTGTTATGGTCAGGATAGCATTGAACAGTAATCGTAAAATAATGTATTGCAAAGTTGATTATTGATGTCCGTCTGTTTTATAGCTGCTGCTTTGCTTTGTTTTGTGCAGATCTTGTGCCTCACTGGTGAATTCAGCATGTATGGTGTGCTTTGTGATTAGCCACTAAAGATGGGGAGTGGAGTACAGGAACAACGTGCATCAATTACTCAAGGAGAGGTTCTGCCACTGGCCCCGTCCACCTCCGAGGCATGTTTTCCATCATTCAAACTTATATCTGTTTGCCTATATAATCTTGGACAGTTTACAGCTGACCATTCATCAGCTCTTCTCCTTTTATATAAATGCGGTTCTTTGTGAGCCACAACATTTTAACCACAGCTTTTATCATTGAAGTAGCACATCAACTAATTATATTATGCACTTTTTAGAGCCTGAAACAGACTCGCTCTGTGGTCAATTCCCTATTCTCTGGGGCTTTGGCTGGGGTAGTGGCCAAGACTGCAGTGGCTCCCTTGGATAGGACAAAAATCATCTTCCAAGGTAAGTGATGTTCACATTTAGCCTAAATTATTGAGGATTTAATAAAGAAATTATACTCTTATTTGTAACTCTACACTTGGCTTGTTTTTCAGTGTCTTCAGCAAGATTTTCAGCCAAGGTAAACCATTTTAAAATATGTTTTATCATGAGAATGAGAATGCAATAGTCATGGTATCATTCTTTGCAGTTAGCAGGGGAGAAATCCATAATTTGTTTGATTGTTTTTGTTCGTTAGGAGGCCTATAGGCTGATTTACCGCACATACCTGAAAGATGGCTTCTTCAGTTTGTGGCGGGGAAATTCAGCCACTATGGTACGAGTCATTCCCTATGCTGCCATTCAGTTCTGTGCACATGAGCAGTACAAGGCACTGCTGGGAAGACATTATGGATTTCAGGGGAAGTAGGTGCTCAAATATGTTCAACAATCATAGTACATACTCAATGTATGATTACATTTTTGTTTTTTCTGTCAGAGCTCTTCCTCCGGTGCAGAGGTTTCTGGCTGGGTCAATGGCTGGGACAACTGCTGCTATGCTAACATATCCTCTGGACATGGTACGCGCCAGAATGGCAGTCACACCAAAAGAGATGTAAGGACCCTTGGACATTTTCTTGAAAATTACAAGTACTGGAAGTTCTAAGTAATTTATTTCCCCCCCAGGTACAGTAACATCTTGCACGTATTTGTACGTATATCCCGCGAAGAGGGATTGAAAACATTGTATCGAGGCTTTGCCCCCACTTTGTTGGGAGTGGTGCCTTATGCTGGTCTGAGTTTCTTCACCTATGAAACACTAAAGAAGCTACATGCAGGTACATGCAGACTGCTCTACTAAGCTTGAATGTGTTTGTTTAGATGCTAAACACGCCTCACTTTTCAGAGCACAGCATGCGGGCACAGCCCTACTCCTACGAGCGTCTGGCCTTTGGTGCGTGCGCGGGGCTGATAGGGCAGTCAGCCTCTTACCCTCTGGATGTGGTTCGGAGACGCATGCAGACAGCGGGAGTCACTGGTCACACTTACGGCACCATACTGAGCACGATGAGGGAGATTGTGGCCGAGGAAGGGGTCACTCGAGGACTCTACAAGGGTCTCAGTATGAACTGGGTCAAGGGGCCCATAGCCGTAGGGATCAGCTTTACTACATTTGATTTGACTCAAATTCTTTTGAGAAAGCTTCATCAGATGGGTTACACAGGTCGATAATTTATTATATGAGGGAAAACAAAATGAAAGGAGACCATTGAGGCTGATTCACACTTTTGAGGATGGCAGAAAGGTGACAGTCAACAGTGTCATGTCTCACATTATGACCCTACAAATGTGAGAACTGTACCAGAGAAAAATGCCAAAGCACAGACGTGTCATCTGCAAATATCGCACATCAGAGATTTTAATGTCAACTGCCTTCTATAGAACAATACTATGTGAGTATTAACATTTTTATGAGTGATAAAACATGCATGCTGTTGTATGGTTAAGGGTTGTATTCTATCCAAGAATATTGTTTTTAAAAGGGTGCCAACTTGTTGTCTAATTAGACAATCTTGCTACAGATTTTACATATATTGAACAATTGTTTGGTTGAAGTAGTAGATGTATCAAAAGTTTCCTTTTATCTGAGTTGCAGTTTTCACTATGATGATTTTAGAGTCCGTACTTTGTCTGACTGCTAAATGCACAACCCAGTGTGGAAGCACTGTAGCAATTTACCTCACATTCTGTATCTTGACAGAAATGTATACATGTTTCACAATTAACTGCATTTTGCAAAAACCTTTTTGTGTTTATCGTCACAACAATTTTCAATAAATACAAAATTCAATCGTTTCTATAATTAGGTTGCACAGAATTGAACTTAATGAGCAGCTGGGTGAACAGTCAAGAGAAGCAGAAACCACACACGTGTGTGAACAGCTGCAGCTGAAAAAAACTGAGCATATTGATATTTTTATATTATTATTCCAAGAAATGCATAATCTATTGAAGTTTATATAATTGACGCATACAACATTTGTTATTTATTTTAATTACACATTCACAAATATCTTTCATAAATTGTACTCTGTAAAATGTGGAGTACATTCTTATTTTTCACATGTGTCCTTGAGGCTTGTCTTAGCGTACTGCATTGTACCATTTCAATACCTGCCTCAATGAAAAACAGTTTGGAAGAAAAGATTAAGTCACAACGGCTAGGTGCCCAGATATGTGCTGCTGAAAAGAAAATGATTAACTTAAGTGCCTAATGAGAAAAACTATGATGTTTAACTTGTACTAAGCTGTAACTCACAAAGTGTTTCCTTTTGTAACATTCGGGCTGTGTATGTCATTGTTGGATCCTTGATGGATTGTAGGAATATAAGAAGTGTGTTATTGAGTTTAAATGCACAACTGCCGCCTTTCAATATATTGCTTAGTTTAATAGACACTAATGATGTTAGTGTGGGAAACAATCATGCCAATAATGCCAAAAACAACTAATTGGAACTTTGGGTCAAAACCAAACCTTTCCCAAGTCCTAACGTCTTCAATCTACATAGAATTATATAAAAATGATCTGCACTTAACAGATGTGAAGTGTTGTCACATGTGTCCATCACCTGACATTTATGTAGTACTACACAGTGGTTAGATTCTGTTTTGTAGTGATTCCTCTGCATCAACTGAATGTACTAATCTGCATCTGAGCAGTTGACTGAATAAATATTAATTTTGAAATAAAGTATATTATCAAGTCGTGTGTATGCATTATAAACAGTGTGTATATATATATATATATATATATATATATATATATATATAGCCTGGGATTCAGTATCCTGGCTCATATGGTTGAAAAGACAGTAATTGTATAGTCTGACAGATGGATGATGCACTTCACCCACATTGTCTAGAATGAGTCTGGTGTGTGTGTGTGTGTGAATGGTTGGTGGTGGTCGGAGGGGCCGATGGCACATACTGGAAGCTGTGTACACTGTGTATGGAATGAATGATGCCGTGAAGATTCTTTGAGTTTCCTGAAAAGCGCTATATATAACCAATGCATTATTATTATTAAGAGATGGGGAGACTCAATGGAGAAGTTGCATTTAAAATGTTAAATGAATGAATTTATAAACAGTTTTTCTAGTAATATAAGGACTTCAAGCGGCTGTATTTGAAACAATCATGATAGTAGTCATATTTACTGTGGTCGCAGTCCCTCCGGTGGCCAGGAGAGGGAGATGCGGGATCGTGCTGATGCTGAGGCGGACAGATGGAGCCAACACAGTCCACTAAATAAGCGCCACAACTCCGTGAACTTGACCATGACCGCTACGCAAAGCAGGAGGGAAAGACAGTAATTATGTTCCTCTGACTCACAATATTACCTGATGGTGATACTTATTATCAATAATAAAAATGACAATAATCTACAATCATTAAAAAACATAATTATCATAATAATTTACATACATTCACAACTGCACACAATCAAATGATCTGGTCTTCAGACATTGTTTATCTTATCAAATATAATTTATATCGTCTTAAAGTGTTGGAGGCACGTATAACTTAAAAGCCACCAAAAAACAACTTACAATATATAAAAAGAAAATAATAATAATCATAACAAATATTCAAAACATGTTTTAAATGAATTGTTTTGATGATTATGCCTCTACATTGAGGCAGGAGCTTGTGTCTTTGTCTGATGAATTCTGGAACGTGGCGAAAAGAGGAGAGAAAAGAGCAGAAAGAAAGAGCTATGGAAGATAGAGGTCTAATTAGGGTGTGAAAGAGGAGGGAGGGGGCTCTTAGAAGATGTGGTTGCTATAGATACTTGGCACGATGCCAGGTGGAGGCACAGCCAATTTACATTTATTCAGATGGAGGCTCTTCTCCCGCACTTTTCCAATACAAAACAATAGGCCATGACTGCTACTAATACACTCAAATATTAAATTGAATAAACGTACAAACAGTCCTAAACTTCTACTTTCATGTACAATTTTTATATTTTCCCATGTCAACATAATTTCTGTTAGTTTATCTTGATAATAATTATTAAAATGGAAGTTGTAGAATGCAGGCTGTAGCTTTTAATTGTTTGTATTATTTTGTAATTGTTTATTATTTCTAATAGTGCTTTATGCATGGTTTGTATTATTTAGTCAATAAATATCAGATACAATAGCCCTGATAATTATGCAACAAAGCTGTTTCATTACCCTCACGTATGTATTGGGTTTTTGTCTTATTTATTCATTTACGTAGGGAAAACAGCTGCTTTAAAGATTTTAAAATCTTCTGTTATGTCGATATTAAACTTTGAATAACCCACAATGAAAAATAGATAAATAAGACACAATATTCTAATGGATAGTTTGTTTATTTTTTGGAGATAGTAAAAAATAATTGGTGGTGTTTGGAAAGAAAACAAATATTTCCCATGCATATACTTGTCAAAGCCTGCTCTCGTCAGATGTTGAGCTAAGCAGTGTGATGCCTGGTTAGTACTGTAATGGGAGACCACTAACACATTAGAACGGCTGCTCAACCTCTGACATGACACCACCAGTGTGGCTGTCCTGCCCCTGTTGGTTAGCCCCAGGGCAGCTGTGGCTATAAATAAGTATTCCACACACCCTTGTGTGGAAAAAAAAAGAATTAATATTGCACAAAAATTTTACTTACATGACCATTCATACAAAAGTTTTTTGTTCAAGAGTCAATATATATGTGAATTCAAACTTTAGATTGTTTAATACTAATGCTAAAACAGAAACAGTAGGTGAATGTAAAACAAACAAAGAGGTAGAGATGGAAATAATTTATTCATTATAAAAAAAAGCAGATATTCATTTTACAAAATCAGAACAAATATATTCACTTTTTTTTTCTCTATTGTTGTTCTCAGGAAAGAAGAAATCAACTGTGTCTTCCAAATGTTTCACCGTTTAGGCCTAATATAAAAATATGCTCCACTTCTCTGGCTCATTTACTGCCATATACAGTACGTAATTCCTGGTAGTGTCATGTCTTCATCTCACATATATAGAACTAAACAGTTTTCTCAATGATCTATATTAACAGTAGTTTGGGACACAGCTGCTTCAGACAGGATAGTATGCAGGCTCTGGGGTCTATTGGCCAAAGCAATCAGGCAGTTGCTTTTCTTCCTGGGGTTCCTAACTGGTCCATATACTGTATGTGGAATGAGTAATGTTATTGTATTGTGTCTTATGAGATAATACTTATATAAATATGAAAGTTACATCAGATTTATTAAGTACTCGACCAGGGCTTGTCACAAGGGCTATGCTGTGCTCTGGTTTGGATAATTCACAGCCATTCTTTTTTTAAAATCAGAGTTTGATGAAGCACAAAAGTAACATTGATGATTGAGGATGAGCTTGTATGAAGCACGGTGAACACAGAATTAAACAACATTGAACAATACTCCTAGGGGCTGGTGCTCTGTGTACTGGGTGCAGATCTGACGGCCACCCCCCCCGATCCAAGAAAATGGATGGATGGAAGAACAATACTCCACTATTTCACTGGAGACAAAGTGTTTCTGTGTCCATCCATCCATTTTCTTCCCCTTAATCCATTTCTGGGTCGGGGGGATGGCAGTCAGAGCTGCACCCAGTACACAGAGCACCAGCCCCTCACTGATCCTCCTGCAGGTGGTGAGTCCACAGGAGCTGAGATCTTTCAGTTGGGGCTTTGAGCAAAGTAGGGTTAAGTGTCTTGCCCAAGGACACAACGACAGCAGTCATCAGTGGGAGTTGTGAAGTAGGTCTTATGGTGGGCTCGAACCCACGATCTTCAGGCCCAAAGGCCAATGCTCTACCAACTGAGCTACTGTCGCCCTAGTGTTTCTGTGTATCAATACAAAAATGAAGAACATGTATGGAGGGTTCTGTTGAGGTGCTGGTTGTAAACAAAATAATAAAAACTTAAATAATAAAAATTAAGGGCCCAATCTAAGCCTCTATTAAAAAACAACAATATAAATAATGAGCAAAATCTCCATTACAATAACTCAATATAAATGTTTTCTCAAAGTCAGGCCATTTAATAGAAACATGAACAATCTGAAGTGTTGAGTGGTGTGAAGATGGCTGCTTTCTGTGTGCGTCCCCTCCCCTGTCGATTCTCACACTCTCGTACCGACATTGTGTCCATCCAACAAAGACGTCCCCACAGCCCCCTCATTATAAATACATGTCATTGGATCACAGCTCTCTGAATCCCTGAGTCTGCAGCGCTCTAAGTGGCCGTGACTGAGCCCTGAATGGGTGGCCGAGCGACAACTACCAATAGACACCAAAAGACTTTCGCTTCAGGCTTCTGGGAATGAAAACCTCACGGTGGGATAGGGTCACAGGCCAGTGGCACACTGTCTGTGTCTGTCCCATTGTTTGTGGACATATTCTCTGTATACTGTACAATTCAAAGGAATATCTTTATTCTATTTGATTAATCTAAAGGCAATTATGTTTTGAGAAGTAAGAGTTTGTGGACAAGGTTTGCAACAAATTTGGCCCAATACCTTTTTTGTGCACTGTCAATATACAATGTTCTGGGTCACTTCAGAAGAGCAAATGATTGTTTGTGTTTTTGGAATCTCATTTTGTTGACAACAATTGAAAAGAGTCTTTGACCCTCTGTACCTACAAACCATATTGTTCTCACCCGTGCTGTACTTTCACGTCTTCTTTTTTATTACTGGCTCTGGTTTGAACCTGGTAGCAGCCAAATAGATCGTAAAATGCTATTATTTTTTATTTACCGTATATGTCTCACTGGTCTCTAGAAGAGGACCATTTAAGTATAGCCATACCTCCCAATTGTACTTGTCCTTGCTGCACTTTTAAACATAATATTAGGCCTCAAGAATGTCTAATTTCTGCATTTCTCAAATGAGATAATGATAAAGTGAATCCTTTACACAATTTGAGTGCAGATTATGTAGTAATGTTGATGTACACGGCCTGATTATTCGCAGGACACACACACACAGTTTTTGGGTCAATCAAGACTCCAGAAGACCTACAGAAGATGATCCTGTGCCCATGCTCCTGATGACCTTATAGAAACTTAAACTACAGTTTTGCACCTGATGACAATTCACGTACAAAATAGACCTCAAGGAATTGGGCAGTATTTAATCACTGCATGTATTCATGATTTTTACTATTAGTTTTACCCGAGGCAGTACAACTTTGACAAATAGATATAAACACAGACTCCCAGATGTCTGCAGTCAGAAACTTCACAAATTAACAAACAAGCGACCTTTAGTGAGGCTTTCTAACTTATTTCTAATTACTTCAAAAATATTGAAGTCTACATCTAATATTCAAAATATTGAATACTATGTTTAAATATTACTTCACGAAGCTGTTTTTTTCTATTTTTAACTTTATCATTATGCTGCATTGTAATTGTGTCAATGGCATTTACATTTTTTTTTTTATATATTATTTTTTATTAAAATATTATTCAGAAGCAATGAATCATACATAAACACATTCTATTGGCCCAGGTATTTGGTCCATCTGCGCTTTTGGCTGACTTTAGGCTATTTGCTGCCATAGGCTAAGCACACATGATGAAGCAGTTCCCACTTGTCCCAGTCACCACCCTATGGACCAGTCCCCATTGAGCATCCCAGACTGAGCCAACAAAAGCCTGAACTTCATTTGCATCCATCTAGTCCCAGACAACCATAGACGTCTCAGTCACATGTGCCAGACAGCCCTCCAATGGCCTTGACCCATGATCGAGGTTCCTCTTTCACCTGCTACATTCAGACTCAACCACTGCTCTAAACATGTTCTTGACACGTTCCCACGCTCCAGGCTCAGACTTCCAGACAAGGAAATTATGGACTCAAAAAATACGACACTATTCATGTTGAGAATTTTGCATAAGCGCTTTGTGATGCTGTCTGGATGTCTGACTAGCTGGAGTTTGTTTGAAGGCGTTGTCAGAAGTGGATGGTATTGAGGTGTTACACTTTATAGGGACTATATGTAATACGCACAATTGGTGGTCTAATAAATCAATACAAATTACAACCCCTTTTGTTGTCATAATCTTTCTGATCGGTGGGTAATTTCAACCCACCGATCACTGATGTAAACCAGCTGCTGGAGTTCAGCTAGAAACAGTACACATTCTGTGAGTTAAATATGACTACACATTATTTGTTTGTTTGTGATTGATTAATGGATTGATATTTGAATTTTGTGGTATAAAAAAGATAAGGGCCAAAACTGGAAACCCAAATTGAGAGCCTCATTCTGCCCTGATTAGTTAATCTGCTCGAAAATCATAAATATAAATTATCTCCCATTGTCATTTTAATTAACTAAATGTTTAACTTTTGTCCAGAAATGGTCAAATATGACCGTTATCCGGGAATACATATAAAAGATAGACGTAATCAAAAATGAAAATAGTATATACTGTGATAATAACATCGCATTTTATTTTCTAGTTAATCATTCTGATGGAACCCAGATATTCTGAAATCTTATTAAGTCATTATTTTTATCTTTCATTATCTAACATCTTAAATTATATCCTGTTTGATATGTGCATAACCTTATTTTCTTTTATTCTACATTTCCCTACTGAGGGACGAATAAAGGTTTATTTTTCTTATGTTCTATTACTCTGTATTCTGTACTATTGAGTGGACAATCTTTTTTATAATTTCATGTAATATAACAATAATTCTCCTCCAAGAGATAAGAGTTTGTGAACAAGGTTTGCAACCAATTAGGGCCTGTGCCTTTGCTATGCTTATCAATATTACGGCATTTAAAAAATGTAAGCAATTGACAGTACCATAACAACATTTAAGTGCTATTCCACTGTCATTTCTAGCAGATGGGTAAAAAATAAATATTCGATCTAAGAACTCACAATTGACATTATTGTACCAAACGTCACTGACTCAAAAGCATATTTCTAAATATCAATGGGTGCTCTAGAGAAACAATGATGTAAGCAAACGTGGAGCCCAGTTTAACATAATGTAGAAATGAGCCAGAGCTTTTGTAGGTTTTGTGACCAGGCTGGACTTCGAGACACACTTGGCTGTCCCACAACATATGGACACCCTAATCGCTCTATGCAAATGTCCTGACGCACAGACACATGTTCACAAATGCAGCCACCCCCCCCCCCCCCCACCCCAACCCAGTCATTAATGTCTTTCTAAACCAGACACACTCCCCCCTCCTCAAATAATAACCTCTCCACTATACCCACCCTTCCAAAAAAAAAGTCTAGACCCTACAACCCACTCAAACCAGACGTCCCACAACCCCCCGCAACCCCCCACCACCAATTCATCATCCTCTTCACCCCATCTCCCATGACCAGTGTTCGCGTCACCGCCATTTTGCCGTGTCCACTGTAGCTCCACCTGTTATGCACATTAGCCACATAACGCACACGACTTTAATCACTCAAATTTGTTTAATCGGATCCCGCAGCATAAAAGTATAAATGCTATATTTTGCATTAGAAAAAGCTGTCAAAATCAGGCCTGCGTTAAAAAAACACAACTACAAATATTTAGCATTCTCAGTCTCATAGTTCAATTATTTATTTATTTTATGCAATTCAAAGACAAACAAAACAGTGAAAACGTGTATCTGTCCTTATTTTCAAATACGCAAATTTTGAACAAAATAACAGCAGTTGACCATTTGAGTCGCATGGTCAATGACACAGACACTCTTATGCATAAAAATGAGACTATTAGAACAGACTTACTGGGGCCTGTTATCCCTTTTTAATTAAGCCAGTCACCACTTATGCTCGCCTAAAGCTCCACGGTGTAACCTTTTCCATTTTGGATGTTTTTATGAAACTGAAAGAAAGAAAAGTGACTTCTTACTCAGTTATTGTCTGGTAGGAGAGTTTGGCATTTAGATAATCACTGAAAATGTTCTGTAGTATATTTTTTACTTTGTACAATGCCGTATTTACAACATTGTGGTGATTCGATGTAAGGGCCACAACACTCTATAGCAATATAAATCTAATTATGCCTGCTTACTTACAATCACAGATTCAACATATTATAACGGCGCTGCTTTCAGAGGTGTAATTATCATCAGGAACTTCCAACGGTTGTTTCAAGGTTATGCTAATGTAATTAGTATGAGAGAGCATCCAACGACAGCTTACAGACAGACGCATGACAACGACAACAAGGCACCCGACATGTTTGGCACAATGAGAGACAGGCGGCCATTTTACATGAGCCAGTGCCCATCTGGAAGAGAACACTGCATTCCCGTGACGACAGCAGCAGTTCGAGAGTGGGGCAACATACGTATTCTCGTGTAAAGCAATGGGAGACAGTATTCAAGGCCAAGTGTGCCCCTGACCCATTCAAATTCACACAAACCCTTGCTTCATTAATGTACATGAATGTGATAAAGCACTAACTAGTATAATACGTGCCATTATATGATCTCTAGGATTGTGAATATATGTAATTTCTTCTCACGTGGACGTACAGTATACAGGCGCCACAGCAACAAAAATGAGCAGAAAATAAAGATTGTGTTGACTCTTTGTAAAAGTGGATTGGGAATAAACCATGGCTGAGCTTTGTATAAAGACCAAGTCCAAAGATGATCTTCCAGTACAGTGTTTAAAAAGCCAGAGGCAGAAGGTGGGGGTATGTCAATCTTATGAAGCAAAAAAATCAACAGAGGAGAGTTTCCCTCATGGCAATCTCCATATTGGAGGTTCAGGGGGAGAACCACACACATCTGTTGGGGTCTGGGAGGTCCATAGCTGAGGCCGCTGCTTGGAGGGGCACATGGAGCCAGTCCAGTGGAGGTCCGGCCCCCAAGGCACAGACAAACTCGAGATCCCAGCCATAGCCATGCTTGCTCCTGCTCGTATTGATTTCTCCAGAAAGCTGGTTGCTCTAGAGGTATCTTATGCCTTCAGGGACCTTCTTCATGCTTCCCAGCCCACTCACTAGCTGCCTGCTTAGGCTTCACAGGGTCTAGTGGACCCCTGGATGGAGGTATGGGCCACGGAGGAGAGGCAGTGCATGACAGCCTATGGCAATGATGATGATGAGCTGCACCAGGTCTCCGAGTTCAGTCATCCACAAGCCTTTATCCGCCATTCCAACCACCCACCCTCGTTTCCATCTGGAAAAAAAGAAAAAGAAAACACAATGTTTTTTAAAATCTCACCTTTGGCATTCAGCCTCCCTCTGCTTCATGCAAATGCAAATGTAAACACAAACGCTTTGATTAAAAATATGTGGGAAGAAAACACCAACTTGCTCTTTTGTATCCTGCCCCAAGGCGCTCACGACTGTACACAAACAAATGAAAATGCTCCTTCTATGATGGTGAGTACAACATCACTGGCATACATATTGACAAATATTAGCACAAACCATGATTTGAACTGTGACCATATACAATTAAAAGAATCAAGAACCAATTAGAACAACAGTATTTCTGCGCCTCTGTGCAGTTGCGTTGCTAGTCGAATATCCAAAACAACATGAGGGGAATCTTTGGGCACCTTTAAACCCACTAGGGCAAATCCTTTAAGATTCTGAATTCACTTGAGTGTGCTGTTGTGAAAAATGAATAAATCAGAGTGAGGAGTCAGAAAGTGCCGGGTCAATTGGAACAGTGTGAGTGTGTTCGTTGTTATGTGCATGTTTCGCACTGATAATGGGAGAACCTCGACGAGCCCATGGCGTGGCCCGCGCTAAAGTCGGCGTTGGGTGAGTAGCCGAGCTGGAGGAAGATTTTTGCACAATGCCCCATTGAGAGGGTTCAGACATGGGTGTTAACTCCCCATTCCTCCACACACAATGGGGCCCCCCACTAGAGCCGGTGCGGGGGACAATGTTAGTTCAGGGCAGCCCTCCGTCCAGCAAGAGAACAGAGCTGCATTATCAAGATGGGAGGAGAGGCATGGCTGGGGGTGCACATGGAGAGACGAAAAGAAGATAAAGAAATATGTTATAAGGAGAGAGTGGGCGAGGGAGGGGCTGTGACCCATGGCTTTGGACTTGAGGAACAAAACAGACACAAACACAGCTCACACAAGAGCAGACAGCCAATAGGCCATGAGCTCAGTGTTGAGGAATGCCCACCACTCATTTATTATTATTCAAATGACTAGAAACACATCAATAACTGCTAAATACGATGAAAAAAAACTGGTCAATGCATTTCAGACACTTGCATCTCTTGATTTATTAAGGACATCACTTGCTAACATTAGACTAAATAATTAAAATTGGAGTGACGCAGAATATATATTTCTTACAGTATCGCTATGAATTAATTATTTCTTTAAATAATGCGATTATGAGAGCACAAGTACGGAACTATTTTCAAATTGATTCATTATTGTTATTATTATTATCAGATTATAAAATCAGCTCATCACATTTAGAGTTAACACTGGCCTGCTGGAACAGGCCAGTGTTAACAGGCCTTTAGTGCATGAGCAAAAGCCTGGGCTACAGTGAGTATTATCAAGCAAACAGAGAGGATAGTGGTTTCACGTGTACAAGGGCAGTATGGTTCAAAGTGTGGAGATGAGAGAACAGTGAGGAGGGAAACGTTTATGGAGATACATGTCTCTCTCGGAGCCTAATAGGATCCTGTGGTTGGACACAGGGCTCATTGTGCCAGCGTAACGCATTACGTTGGTAAACTAGTAAACTGGGGAATGAGCCCAAACACTCTGCACCTCCTGTGGCGAGGCAACCACAACAGCTTACATGTGTACCCAGTATTCTATGCCCCATTTCATCTCTGGTAAACACAGTGACAAAAGAAGAAAAAAGAGAGGGAGCAAATATGTGAAGGGAGGTCATACATGCAAGTACACGGCCACAAATGTGCTAGAGCAGAGGAAAAGATGGAAACGAGGGGAAGGTGGGGGCAGTAGGCTTATGCTCAACACCTGAGCATAATACGGACAAATGATGCCTGTCTCCTCTGTCTGTCTGCATCCTGAGTGACAGTTTACAATTTCGCAGGCAGCAGGTAGACCCAGCAGGATGCCATTTTGCCTTTACCATCCACAAAACCTATTTTAGATCTTTCAGGCAGTATTTCAGGCTCTCATCCACACCTCTTTCTAATCTTCCCTTCACCTATTGTTCGTTCAATTTATCTGTCCTTTACAATCTAATAAAAGCTCAACTACAACAGACACCGGCAAACACATTTTCAACAAAGACACAGGTAGCACAATAATAAAAATCTTTCCCTCTAATAACTACAAATATTTTTGATAGATGATGCATGATCACAATTACTTTAAAAAAAAAAGTAAACAAGCTGCTACCACCTCCATCTCGTCTCCTTCGCTGGTGAAATCCAACCACAATGAATACAATACATCATCTGCATTCTGTAACCTGCCATGGCTCTCTTCATCTCTGTTCCTTCAAAGGAGGCTGAGGCCGCATTCAAACAGCAGGACACACACTCAGCTAACAAACCTCATTAACGGCCAATAGACATCTTCTCAATGCTTACTCTAGTTATCACACATCCCCTCTCAATGCACACACTGGTGGCCACACTGACCACAATACAGCATCTTTACAGAACTAATTAGAAGGGTCCCCTCTCTATTTAAAACTCATCTGAATGGGAAGGCGCCAATAATGAAGAGGGAGTGAGACTGGGACGGGACGGCCACATGAAACAGGAGAATTAGCAGAAGGAGAGGAACAGCAATAGAGTCAGCTCACGAGAAAGAGAAGAAAGGATGCTGCTAATAAACTTTAAGAGAGACAGCAGTTGCGGTCTTTCATGGTGGAATTACAGAGAGGAGGCTGCACGGGGGACCTGAATAAGTGTGGCACCGCTCTGTGGCAAGAGCTGCATCCATGTGATTGGTACAAGTGCTTCTACTAAGACTCACAACACTGAAATCAACAAGCACTAATACTACAACAGGCTCATTATGGAAGGGGGTGGGGGGATAGATATAGATATATTTTTATCTAACCAAAGCTCATGCCAAAACGTGCAGGGGAACAGATACTGGGCTTTGATGTTGAAGCTCCTGACGTGGAAGATGTGTCTGAATGTGTTGTTGCTATTTCTAGTTTTTTCTTTTTTTAATCAGATTCTTTCTAATTTACTGTTGAAAAATGTTAGATTTGTTAATTCATTTCATTCATGCAAAAAGCCCAACATGATAAGTGCAATATATTGACTGATCCACTTTTTTTTCTTCCTTTCTGCTGTCTTCCCCAATAGATCCTTTCTAGTCTACATTTGAGTTATTTTGGTTGACTATATGATTGAGAGATTAATGAACCATGACCATAAGCACTACTTATTTTGCATTTATCTAAATTGATTATTGATAATGGAAGAGATGGCTACAGAACAAGTCATTAAGCTCAAGGCCAAGTTTAGCTCAAGCTCAAGATTACACTAATATAACTCTATCTATTATATTATCTCAATCAAATCTTCCGTCTTTTCAGCACACAATAAATGTTAAGTTCAAGTTTAAGTTATGACCCAATTGTTGTCTCATCAAAATCACTGGTCCTTGATGAGTGAAGCATTCTGGGAGAGTAGCAGGTGTCCCTCCGTGTCACTGTGCTTCCCAGACAGCTTGTTAATTTGCACTTTCTTACACGCACGTAATGTGTGCGTGCATGCATGCGTGTATGTATGTGTGTGTGTATATATTAGCGACAGGACTTGACCCTCGCTGGCTGCAGCAGTGTTTCGCGTCTTGCTGGGCGTGGGAAAAAGATGGGAGCCCTTTTCACAGCTGCCTTGGCTGAGGCCGGGTCTGCTGGGGGCCCCCTGAGCACACACCCGTCCGCCCCCCTTCGCCCTCCTCACCCCCCCTTCTTCCTTATTCTTTCCCATTCAGGCTCAAAACTACTGGCTTTCAATAGCGGGACCCCCTTCCCAGTTCTTCATAAATACATCTCATTATTCAAGCCCTAGTTTGCATTGGGTTTCCAAAAAGATCTTCCCTCGGCTCCTGAGCTTGATGCCTCTCAGCCTTTTTTGGATCCGACAAGAGCAAATTCGACTCTGTAATCTCCCCATGTTAATATTTGTTTTAAAAAGAGCACGCTTACTTAACATAGATGACTTCAAATATTTAAACAAGTTTCTAACTCCTATTTTACACTAAATCGGAGGGAATTTCCAGATAGTGTAAATCTGCACTCCATCTATAGTACAGACTGCACACACATCAGTCCCCCTCAACCCCCCAGCACCCAAGCCCATTCACCACAATACATTACTGCCCAGATTTATCTCCCATCAGTCCATATAATACTGAGGTTATAATTTACATCCACTTTAGAAAACAGCAGCACAGGCAGCTCCTTGCATATGCTAATATAAAGCTTGGGAAAATCTGGAAGATTCAAAGGAGTCCATAGTAAATTTGAATAACTGAGCGCCAAGGCTTGGAACTGTGAGAATGACAATGCTAACGCACATTCATTACAACGACAATGTGTAATTAGTGAGAAGACATCAGTGATATGCTAACTTTTATCTTACATTTAAAATGCCTTTTGAGCTGATAAATATACAGTTGTAAATATATAGACACATGATGGAACTTTCATATTGGTTATACATTTGTATGTATATATCTGTATACTATATTTACAGTAGGAAAAAATCTGAAAAAGAAAAATATGTATGAGAAGTAAAAAGGTAACTATTTCTGCGGGAATTAACAAAAGAAAGTAAAATATTGAATAAGTGGTAAATCCACAGGTATTGAATTTGCATGAATTGAATCAATAAATAGTACTAAATCATCAAGAAAAGCAATAGTTTAAACAAGGTCCTGATCAAAGAATATATATAGTTATAGTAAAGCTATACATATACCTGTTTTTTTTTACCCCTAACACTGAATAACAAATTAAGATATTTGAATCCATCAAGTATAGTTTTAAATATCTAAATACGTTATTCAGCTATTAAGCTATTGTACAAGTGTCTAATTTCCCTCAGAAATGTACATTACATTACGCACGTTACGCACATCAACCCAATACCGTCAACCGTTTGTGGAGTCAGAGGCACCCACACGCTCTCTCCACATGAGGAGGTCTGAGCCTGGGTGAGCCCTGGGCCTACGCGCTGCTAACGGGATAAAGCAAGCGCGGCCAAGATTACATGGCCACCTCCCCTGCACCTAGCACACGTACTACCTGACAAAGAGGATCATCGTGTTTAAAGGGATAAAACGCTCAATATGTAAGAATGAAAGAGAGAGGTCTGTGTGAAGGGGAGGGGGTCGGTTTGGGGGGCTGCTATGTAAAACAGATTAATACTTCAAAGGCGGAATGATGGAATTGAACATGGAGGTCCCACACTGCTCGTGAATGTGTTGCTGTAGGCTATATATTGTACATATTCAAGCTGTGGAGTGGTATAAAATGCACTGGCATTTACTGTACACCGAGTGCAAATAAAATGTCTATAAATGTCCCTTGAAAGCAACAATGTGTGAAATGTAAGTTGGTTCTGTTTAAAAGATGATATAATACACATCTATATGCACAATGTTGTGGAGTAACAGAGTACATTTACCGAGAGTACGTGTTCAGGATACTATTCCAGCTGTTAACCTCACACTGTCCACTTGACTGCCAGCGCTCTGTTCTTTAGTTCAATTAATGGTGGCTCAATGATGGCTCCTTATTTATCTCTTCTTGTGTGGAGAAAATATAGAGTCTCCTGAATATACAGGTTTTAAATTTTGGTTAGTAGTAGTTCTTTAAATATGTGTTGCTCTTCAAACAAATATTGTGATATCTTCCCTCCACAATACCCCCAGAGAAAAAGAATGCCCACCCCGATGTAACAGATTACATTACAAAATATGTATTGAAGTATAGACATCCAACCCCTTTTCAAACCTGCATTAGTGTCAAGAAATGGGAAATTGTGTTCTGCAAGTTTGACATGAAATCCAACTAACTAACCATCAGTATTCTGTAACTTCTGGGAAAGGCATTGTTAAAGTTTTCTCCCTGCACAACATGTACTGTATATGGACACATCTGCTTTATCAAATGCTCCGCTGCTTAAATGTGTCCTGTACTTTGCAATGGTGCATAATTACCTCGGGGTGGGCTGTTGTTTGGAGGAAGATTGTCATCATTGAATGTGTTTGTCCCAAACTTCAGCACTGATGAGGTCTTCATGATCCCTTTAGAGGAAGAAGAAGAAAATATATGAATGCAAAAACATTACATTTGAATAAAACACCACAGATGAATTTAAATATTATTCAAGGCAGTAAAATAAACACAGACAGTTAAGTGCACCGGGCTGACCTTGTAGATATCGTTATCTGCTAAAATTGCTTTAAGTTAGGAGTTTTAAGCACTCCTCATTATTTTTGTTTCTCAGTCCAAGGCTTAACAGATTTGTGTACTGCAAGAAACTCTGAAGCACAAAGACACAAAACACAATGACATCAGAATGCAAAAACACTCAGTTAGTAATAAGTTGTAGTAGATAAGTTTGACATGACAACAAATTCAAAATGGAGGAAGGGCAGGTGAGTTGTACTATTCTTCAGTGAGGAGAACCAGCACACCGTTTACAATTTTGTTTAATAGTTCAGGTCAAATATGGTCAGACACGCTCTAAATAAAGCATGGGACTTCAGGGATAGTCTATAATTTCTATGGCTTTCTTATTCAGCTCCGAGAATAGATCAAAGTCGGAGCTGGTGTCCTATTTTATCTAGACCCAATCTCACAATCTCATAATTCACAGCCACCAACAAACGCATGTGAACATTCAAACATTCAAATATAGTCTGACAATGGTTTCTTCACTAAAGTCTAATAATATGAAGCTAATAAAACTCTGCAATATGTATAGTCATCAGATTCCACAGCATGAGCAAAACAAGTTCAACATACTGTAGCCTACCACAGCAGCCCAGAATAGTGAAACAGTTGAAAATCTGTGTTGCTGCAGATTGGGGAGAGTTTCAAACCGGCATTTTAAAAATGTTAGTGTGATATGTCTTATAACACATATCCAGGGGGAATCATACACTTTTACTCAATAAATCTCTCTTGATATTGAGATGATGAAGAAAAAATAATAAGTAGCCATAAAGTAGTAACCTGGGTTCTATACTAATCTACTTCTCTCTCTCTCTTTATACATATACTGGGAACGTTGAATGTTTCTTTGTAATTACACACATTTTTACATCGGCTGATTAATGCAACTTTCTGTAAAAAAACAAAACTTTTAAATAGAATATTACAGTAGTTCATACTAGCAACTTGCACCATTATTTGCGATGAGACCTTAAAGGCTAAGGATTTTCCCAAATGTTAAGAAAGAACCGCCCTCTCCACTTTTTGAACAAAACTCTCTGGTCTCATTTGACGAGCACGCATCACCAGAATGATTGACAATTGGGAGGACCAATAGTCTTGATGATCCACCCGGAAGTAGAAAATATACCTTAAACTTCTCTTCACATCTGACACAAGAAGCATGGGTTGACGAGTATCGAGTGACAGGCACTTAATTACTGTTTTCAAAGTAGGCTATATTGTTTTCATGCAGTCATAGATGAACAGTTACACACAGATATCTACTGCCTATGTTGATGCCAAGACCCGTCACGTGGGCCCTCACTCGACCAATCATAGACGCACTTTAACTATTTCTGGTCTCCCCTCCAGATATGACAGTGGAACACCCACACATGTGGGGCAAGTAGCCTACAGTCTAATCACTTCCTTTCTAACTCCTGTATTCCTGTAAGTTGTGCGGACTGTACATGATGTGTTCCTTCACAGGCCCCTAAATCACCACGATGCCAAAATCACACATCCTAAAGCCATTCACATTCACGCCCTCGTAGCCACGCAGTCTCTTCCTCTGGAGTGTCCACAGTGCACACAAACCCGGGACAGGTGAAGCCTGGGGGACTACATTCAGGCCGGTGTGGTTCAGGGCTACAGCGCGGTGCTCCGTGGTGGTGCTCCGCATCTCTCCGGAGGAGGCATCTCCAGCATCCATCCGTTCTGTTCGCACTATCCCGGACTCTTCCGCACACAGAAAACACCCCTGCCCACGAAGTGCTTGGCTACAGTTCGTACTTTCGGTTCTCTAGCTTTATGAAATTAAAACTCATACAGCTAGATAACCAAAGACACAAACTAAGCCGTAGTCTCTTAAAGGGGCCGCCTTCGGTCCGCGCTTCCCCGGGAGGACAGAAAGCACCGGGGAGAGCTGCTGCTGCTGCGCGGCTCCGCACGCAGACGCGCAGACGCATACAGATGGAGCGATGGGGAGTGAACAAGGACAACAATGTGATGCTTAAAGTTTAACATTTTGAGTGGAAAGTCCACAGTGTTAACAGTATCTTCACATTCATACAGGGAATTCAGTCACTGTCACTGGCTGACGCTCACTTGCACACCACATTATTCGGAGGAAAGATGGAATTGGCATTTGCACGATTTTACAAAGCCAGTAAGTGACGAACACAACTCATTCCTAATATCTGGGCTTCAAATAACTAACTCACAAATGTTAATCAAGCCTACGTTTTAGGCAGGCACGTATTAATGAATTGGGCCTATGGTAAATTGCAATGGCCTCTAGCCTCTATGTCATCATATAGACTGTGAACCAAAAAGAGAATCAAAAAGAGCACCATTCTCCCCAACAGTTGCTGGTCATTTACAAAAGACCAACGTTTCACTTACTTGCACAGCAGGGTAACTCCACACTAGTACTAAGTCCACTAGAAAATCCTTCAAGTCCACGCTGTTCTTGGTTTGTATGGGTCGTTTTTTTCTATATGATGTATTCAATTAACTGATGAATAAATACCTACAATTATTGTATAACTAATCAAAAGAATTGCACTTAGTGCTTCCTCTCTCACGCGCGAACTGCAACTGACAAGTGCAGTGAGTCCACGCGCTGAGCCGGCAGATAGAGGAGGGGGGAGAGAGGGGGGAGAGGGGGAGAGAGAGGGAGAGAGAGGGAGAGAGAGGGGGGAGCTCCGCCTTAAAAAGAGAAACAGGGAAGAAGCGGGAATCTGATTGACATGAAAAGGTCGTTGATTGCTTAGCATGTGTTCCGGTATGTTCATATGGTGTCCCACTGTGATGTTTAAGTGCGTAAAGGGCAGAAAAACAGGTATATCACCTTTAAAACAGCATTATCTGCAGTGTTCCATTGGAATAACCTAGCCCTGCATGTGCAATAATAAAAATGCTAGTGCCAATATAGCAAGGATCAGTTGCGATAAGTGTTTTTGTTTCTCTCTTGGTTATTCAAAGCAAAAAAGGAAACATGGTTTAGTTGAGCACATTCAGGCGGCTGCACGGTGTAGGCCCCACAACATCCTAATGCTTATACAGTTCCTCATATTGTAGCTTTATCAGAAGTGATGCGATATGAGTTGTATCTCACCCAGAAAGATGATGAGATTGTGATAACTCCAGATAAAAAGCCAGTTACAGAGACAACCAATCAACAGAAACTTGTGTCTCTGAAAGTTTGATATTTAAAGGGTTGTATCTGAGCAGTAAACCAATAAGAGGAGGGGACCTGATTCCAAACGAAGCTTATATCAGATATGGCATTACATATCTGATTATTGCGCATGGGCAAATGTTATATCAAGGAGGTGCAAGCTCTGCTGTCAATGCAGTCTGACTTTGTGTTCCTTTTCTTCTCAGCATCATTTATAAACAGATGCAATCTTTAGGCCTCTGGTGATATCTGCCAGTGAACTTGTGCCAAACTGCCATAGAGTACAACTAACACAAGAGAAAAAAAGAATATAGTTGGTCATGATCAAATAAATAAACCATAGCAAATTACAAATAACTGAAAAAGGGGAAATTAAAAAGTCTAGCTGTGTTTAGAATTTCATATTGTAAACCTAACGCATTACAGGAATAAGTAAATGTAAATGAGCTCCAACACTGAGCATGCTGAGGCCATGTGGTGCGTGTTCACTGGGATTTTCCCACAAACAAAATGACAGGAAAGTGTTCCCCCTCCCTCTCCCCCACCCCCTCCGAAAATAAAAAGAAAGGGGAAAAAAGAAGTCAACATCAAGTTCAACAACGTGCCAGAGTGAAATTTACATGACAATCGGGTCTGGGATCCTCCACGTCCCCCCAAGCCGCTCAACACAGTCTGGCGTCATCCCTGCTACACTTTCCCAGGCTCCAACAATATCCCGCTGAACTGTGCGCTGCAGCCCGGGGCCCGGGGCCTCGGGCTCCCCTCCTCCTGCTGCACCACACCGCGGCATGAATACTGTGAGGAGAAACACGCAGACCTCCGACCACCACAACTAGTCCAGGTGCAGGTCGAGCATCATGACCTAAATTAAGGAATATACCTGCTATCCATTCAGGCAGACGTTTGGTTTTAACTGCACATTATCTCATCCCATTTAATCATGAATGACATAGTTAATAACAAAAACTAAATAATGTCACTTTGATCTCTTGCAAATAATAAAATGTGACTGAAACAGATGTAGGTTTACTTTTACTCAAGTAACAAGGTGTTACTCACCACGTGTATGCAGTAAGTGCAGAATCTGAGGAGGAGGGGCAGCCAGAGGCCTATCACATTTGGGATATTGACGTTGTAATTCTTGGGCGGGGCAATATAATATGAACTATACGACATGATAATGCATTATATAGGAATAAAAAAAACCCTTAAAGATAATGTCAACCTCTGATGGCTGCCCCCCACCACGAGGCTAAGGGGACAGTGTATGATCTGTTCAAAAATATGTTGAATTTGTGGAAAATAACGTGTATTCTGCAGAGTGCATGCGAGACATCTCTCTGCAGAACGTCTGAAAACTTTACAGATGAGTTGACTTGATGGTTAGTCAGATGAACTATATGCAACAAACACAGCTCCTTGCGATTGGGAGTATTCACATGACGAACAGCGACACTCTTTGGAGAAACTGAGGCACATGAAATATAGCGCGATGCTAAAGGCCTAGTCCTCCGTGCTTTTAGGCCAAATTTAGGCCATCCTAAACAAAAGCAAATTCATGACTTCTATTGTAACTTAACTGTACACAAGGTAAGGCGTACAAACAATTGAATGTCATTAATTATGGAGCACAATCATAACAACTGTAGGCTATAAAATAATAAAAAACCCAATTACATAGTTGTTTCCTAACAAATTAGGATGAATATAGATCCTATTTTTTCGATTATGCCAAAGAATGACGTATAACAATAAATCAAGTAGGCTAATCTATTATCAATGAACACACAATCTTTCTTCATGAAAAGAAAAACAATATTGCGTAACATTGGACAGTAATTATACAACGTTTATTTGTCCATAGGCCTATCAAATTGGAGTAAAGGTTATTTTAAAGTATATTTCCAACATATAATAATTATTATTATTTGGGCAGAGAAGGCGTAATATCCGGGAATTTATTTTAAAAGATAATTATAATAATGACAATAATAATAATAATATTAACAATAACAGTCATCATTATAATCATCATAATACTTATCATTATAAATATTTCAATAATAATACATTTTAGAATATCATACAGAACTCTTAACCCTTTAGGGGCCAAAGTGCAGGACAGCAGTGCAGCGGCCTGGCTTCACATAAACCATTATATTTCTGACGCATGTTTCTCTGATTTAGTCATTTTGCACAGGCCTCATATCTATGACAATACATGAACACGTGTATTTCGGCTCAATAATTCAATGTATCTGATGGAATTAATATGCTAAAGCTACAAAAGTAATTAGGCCAATTACTTAACGAAATTTAAAACATTCAGGATGCTGCTAATATAATAAGCCAATAGTCTAAGCTCGTTACTTTGTTTTTCAGTTGGCAAACGATAACTCACACATATACACATCTTTAAAACTGTTGAGCTCGACATTTATTTACAAAGGCGTTGGTTACTTTATCTCACAACTTCTTTCGTTTGGATGGGGAATAAATGACGTAACTTGTAAAAGTAAACCAAAGTGAGGCAGGACCTTACCAGCAATAGTCCGCAGCCGCTCAGACTGGTCCTCTGCCGATCCCCAGTGAGAGTGAGGGGCATGGTTCCCGGTGGCTTCACTTGAGGCGGGTCGGCTGTATGGAAATGAGAGACACCCCCCTGTGTTCCCACGAGCCGCATTCCCCCGGTCAAGTTCAAGCTCAAAGCCTGGACCTCATAGGCAAGGCAAGTTTATTTATATAGCACACTTCATACACAAGGTAACTCAAAGTGCTGCACAAAACAAGACAAGGAAACGTTCAAATCATCAACAACACAAACACAATCCACCGTATACAGCATTGGAAAGAGTGTGGTATAGGCTACAATATTTCAGCTTTATGCATAGAGCTAAACAGAACTGTTTTTATCTGGAACATTATCCAGCCTGAACTATCGAGCATGTACCATAAAGCCTGGAGCGTGGACCATAGAGCCTGGACCATATAGAGCCTGGACCATATAGAGCCTGGACCATAGAAGTAAGTAAGTAAGTAAGTAAGTAATCTTTATTTATATACCGCCTTTCACAGACCAGAGTCACAAAGCGGTTTACAATTGTTATTTTTGGGCACTTGTCCTCTCACTCCACACAGAGATGGGAGCGGGGTCGGGGTCGGGGTCGCCAAATATGTACAATAGGTGCCAGACCTATTGTACATATTTTTAGTGGTAGGGGAAACAGGAGTACCCAGAGGAAACCTACGCAGACACAGGGAGAACATGCAAACTCCACTCAGAAAGGCCCTGGTCCGACCGGGATTCGAACCGGCATATGGGCGGCATAGAAGTGCCGCCCATATAGAGCCTGGACCATATAGAACCTGGACCATAGAGCCTGGACCATATAGAGCCTGGACCATAGAGCCTGGACCATAGAGCCTGGACCATAGAGCCTGGACCATAGAGCCTGGACCATATAGAACCTGGACCATAGAACCTGGACCATAGAGCCTGGACCGTAGAGCCTGGACCGTAGAACCTGGACCATAGAGCCTGGACCGTAGAACCTGGACCATAGAGCCTGGACCATAGAGCCTGGACCATAGAGCCTGGCCCTTATGGCCTGGACACATCCACATGCAGGTTGACCCAAAAAAAGCAGGTACTGAGCTTTGGGGAGTCTATCAGCCCAGAATTACATGCAAATACATACTTATTATAATATAAACTGTGTATTTAACATTTGGGGGATGCCCAAATAATAATTTTGACACAACACATGCCGAGAAGAAGGATTCTAATCTTGTGCTGTGCTCCTCATTCCTACTGTCCTGTAACTGAGGATGCAGCACAGAGAAGTGCTCTGATGACAACGTCTCAAATCTTTTTACAGCCAAATTAAAGATTTGAAATGGACAACGACCCCAAGTAATAGGCTAGTAGTAGTTACACATGATTGGATAATAATGTTGATCATTTCTGTAAACCTATAGGAAAACTTTAATCTGATTGAACAGTGTCTTATTATTTATATAAACCGAGATTGCAGGATATTTTTTTTTTCCACTAAAACAATTCTTGATTAGAATGTGCTTTATAAATAAGGTTTACTTACCTACGCTGAATTGAGTGGATGACTTTCCTGCTGTTGTTGACGACAGTGAATGTGTCTGGATTGTTTGATGTAGGTTTGACCGGTATTTTGAACAGTGAGCAATGAGGCTGCTGTACCCTTAAACAGCTATATTGTTTATTATGTCACACATGTCTCTGGCTGTACTATATGTTATTAGTTAAATTTAAGGACATAGTATAAAAATAATCTAAATGTGTGTGTGTTCAGTGTGAGTACTTTGTCTGGTGTTAAAAGGCGCTGGTCCTGCATACGCTCAGCAGCTCAGAGCAGCTCAGAGCAGCACATCCCGACTGGAGGATTCCCACGCGTGTGTCGTGTGTCTCGCCATAGTATAATAGACCACCTCAGACTCAGACACCCCCAACACCCCAAAACTCCCACCCCCCATGTTCCCAAGTTTCAGGATCTGAGTCTGCAATGGTCTAGGCCCCTGTGGGAACCAGACACTCGCTCAAATTTGAATGGATAGATTTTTGGTTTGTTGCATTAAAATTAGAGTTTAAAAACTTATTATTTCAGATGCGATTCTGGTGTAATGAAATGATGGATAACACACTTTAATGTATGTAATAAGCATCATCTGATGTCTTTCCATGTTTACCCAAGATATTTTTTTATGAACTTGTCCCTTATTTTGGGCCACATGTCTTTGTAGGGGCCAAAAGACTCAGTAAAGATACAAGACCAAAGCTGATGGGAAATGCCCCGACCAAATTAGGAACCCTTATATGGTCAGGGCATTTCCTTCCTCTTAGGCCAAAGGTCAATGGTCTATTGGTCAGGACAGATTCATGGACTTGTGGTCAGTGCATGAGATGACCTTTGGAGCCACAGGCCGGACATCCCACACACTTCTAAAGTTTCCTCTGTATTGACTTGACCTGAGGAAGCTGGAAAGACATGATGAAACTTACTGCACATATTTGCACATAACAGTTATCAAAGTGAAAAACATGATCTATATGAACACACAGTTTGAGTTTGCATATGCTAAGTCTGCAGCGTGCAGGCCCTGTCTAGACTCGCTATTTGATAATGCCACTTATCTGCAGGGTGAATGTGTCATGATGTGGGGCAATCTCGACCTCAGTCAGCCGTGTAAGCCAGACACTCAGTGTGTGTCACAGTCTGATTGTCCGGAAAAAATAATGTGGCCAGTCGAATAAGTTAATTTGAACAAATCTTCACCAACAACAAAATAATCAATTAGTTTTATTCTTTTGGCTTTTCAAATTGTAAACAGGTAAAGTTTAGATTTTGCGGAGTAGCAAATGTCTGACTTTCTTAGAGGCTTTGGATCAGTTATTTCTATCTCCCTTTAATGAGAAAGAGTTTCTCATTTTAGAAAGGAGACAGTTGTCAATTTGCTTGTTTCTCTTTCATTTTAGGTTTTTTTCCGCCCTAACATAATCACTTTCTTATACAGATTGTTAGGTGGTTGGTCAGTATTGTATTCACCTTTGAAAGGATTGTTTTCAGGTTGCTAAGGTATGAAACTAAGGTTATCCAATATCTAACTTTGAAACTACAAAAATACCTGTAATAATGAATCACAAAACCCACAACTCTTAAAACTGTTCTATCCCTAGAGTTTTTGTATGCATGGAGTATTATTATCTTTAAATCAGTTTCTGTGAAAAAGACAGTAGCCCTCTCTTGGCCAATATGCTCTCAGTATGTAAAAGATCAAATGTTTCCCATTAAGATAAAGACAGCATGTTGTGGTCTGATTTCTTCACACAATGTCACTAAAATAAGACAGAAAGTAGTTTAATTGTAACTTTATTGACAACAATTGATCGTCGCCTCTTTATTTGTCCACCTATCATTTGAAAAAACGTTGTAGACATTTGTGGCAAAACATGTGCAGGAGTCGCATTCTCTCCACAGACATGATCCACCATCATGTCTGTCTTTTTTATGAGAGACTGGTCTGAGATCGCCATGGTAATTATGGGCATCTGCTCGGACGTCCCAGTCTAGAGCCGTTGGGTTAGGGGCCGACACAGACTCCCTTATTCTCAGGAGGGGTGACCAGACATGACCCCACTATGTAGGCCTTTTTAGTTTGGGTGGGAAACATGGAGCAGATAGTCAGGATGGAGACACATCATTTCAGAGACTTATTTTGCAAAAGGGTGGAACTTGAGATGTACTTATTATTTTGGGAAAAACCCTCAAAGACCATTTGCAGGTGAAACTTGGAAAATTGGAATATTTGTTGTTGTTAGTTTTGATTTGACCAGAAACATTACTGTAAATTCACTAGAATTAGCCACAGCTATTTTTCATTTGCGGTCCCTGGACAATATCATTCAAAATGTTCTGTAATTCAACTTAACATGTAATACAGACTCACGCACAGTGACATGCAAAGTGACACATGCCACCGCTGTGTTTGACTGTGGCTCACAGTCCATTTTCAATATATTCAAATGTTCTAATATGTTTTATTTGGGTTTATTAGAAGCCGTGAACCAATTATCAACATTATAACAAATAAAGGCTTGATATTTCTCGCATTGCGTGGTATTAATCTTATATTAGTCTCACATTAAGTTGAATTACAGAAGGACAAGTACAACACATTTTGAACAATATTCTATCGTTTGACCTGTATAATCAAAAGTCTGTCTTCACATACAGTATGCGATGTAGAGGTTCCCACCCCGCCCCATTTGATGTGTCTATTGTCAATGGAATAAGGGGAGGTGATGAATGAGGCTGCTCCGTCTGAGTGTGCACTGGCGACCCCTCCTGGAAAAGGTTCGTCTGCCCTGAAAATACTGTTAACTCTACAAATTATTGTTACATTAACAATGAAGAATGTTACTGCTTCTTTTCCTTTGACTCTGTACTTTCTAATAACATCGGCATAAGTAGCAAGTGACAAAGTCTTGACTTTGTACTTTTAAAAACAAGTATCTGTACTTACTCCTCACATTTTAAAATGACCAGATGGTGAAACCAAGTAAAAATGGGTTTAACCATGCTTTTTTTTTCGTAAATAACATTTTTTACAGCCTTTCTTCTAAGTGACAGTACACCAGTGTGAAACATTTCTAGAATAGTGTATTATGTTGGGCAAGTGTTTCAAAGGTGATGCTTAAAATATCTCAAACACATGTTCCTCCCCCAATTCATAAATAAATTGCAATTGACTTCATTAATCAAGTACAAACTAAATCTTGTACTTTTATTCTATCTAATGTACCTAAACTGATGAAGATGATAATGAGCGGTTATCTCGTGTTCACTATCTTATCTGCGATATACTCAACCCTGCCTCTACTACACGCCTGAACCTGAGCTGATCCGCATTACCTTCACAGCTGTATTTAAACGGTGCCTCATAGTCTCTGCATTAAGCTGCTGTTTGTGCATTAATCCTCCTCCTCCCTATCTCCACCTCATCGTCTCAGCTTCCTCCACCAGGGGAATTTCACTCTCATAAAGTCTGTATAACTCCCAAATACCTCATGCAATATTTCTGCTGGGGTCCAATCACAAATCTTATTGAATATTTCAAGTTCCAATTGCAATAAACCATTTAGCACCACAT